CTATAAACAAGTTTGTAGCTCACAGACCCTTTCTGATGTCCTCTGTAAGTTGAAAATGAACTTTGAGGACCACTCATTTTTTTATGTTAAGCTGCTTATTTGTGATTTTAAAAGTTGATAGGTGAAGAGCTCTGCTTACATTTAATCAAGAACAATCCCTTGTTTTCCTGCAGTGTTTTCTATGTACAGTAATGAAGCTACAGTACAGGAATGCTGAAATCAAAATGCAAATCATCATATCCCCAGCTGTTTGCCAAGGCTTGTCTCTGCTTTGTTACTTTAAACCATTTTCTTGGAGTTTCTCTCTCCTCTGCTGTGATTTTCCACATACTTTACTCTTTATTTGAATATTCTCTTTGATTTATGCTCTCCAGTCCAGTCACCCATAACCATGTCGTCATGTTCTGTGATATACAGCACCATTAATACTCCCCCTCTGGTCTGGCTGTGGGATCAGGGCGGGTCTGATCATGCTCAAACTCCAGAAACGCAACTCCTGCCAGCACTGAGCGCATGAAGAAATGTCCAGAGGAAACATCAACACGGTCCAGAAGCATCCAGTCAGGCTTCTGCAACCAAACTGGAAAAAGTTTAGTTTACTTTGCAGTTTAGTGTCTGTGCAGGGCGAGCTCCAGGAATTAAGATTTCATGTCTGAGGGATAACCTGCTGAAATCTTGCTGCTCTGCGGGTGAAATAAGGTTTCATCACTTTGCATTAAAAAGATGTTATTTAATGTAATAGCTATTAAAGTTAATATCACCTTCAAAGCTGAGTCAAATCTGTTAAATCCTCCATGTATGTCTGATAGTCAGCAGGTTGGACTGAAATGTATGTGAAAATTCTCAACCATAGATCTGTTATTGTCACTCATAGGCCTAAAAGGTCAGGAAGCAACAGCACAGGCTGTGAATGATTCACCCTTTCCTTTGTAGCTGAGATGTTTTTGTCATTTTATAAATCAGTTTTGGAATAACTGATTAAGAGATTCCTGCCAATCCACCACATTACACCTGAGCAAACACCTCGTCTCTGCAGGACTCCCACAGCTACACTGAGACTGGGGTGTCCTCCTGGTCATATTATCATGGTAGCTGGAGCTGGTCTGGGTCCCACAAGTCAGGACCTCCGCTGCGAACCAGACAAGAAGCTCTTTGTGTGAAAACATGATGAGGAGGAAGAGACGAAAGTTTCCATGACACGAGTTTCTGCATATTCTAGACATTTTTCCAAATATAAAACCAGTGGAAAGGGTTAACAAAGGATATCTTGTAGCTTTGTGAGGATGTGTGTTTCCCCTCTCCATGGGTAATCATGGGATGAAGTGTGATTCATGCTGGAGAAACTTGAATCTTATTGCCTGCATCAGAGGATATAAATGTCAGATTTATGCCTACACTGCAGAAAAACTTTAATCTTACAGAGTGCACTTGTCTAAATTCCAGTGAAAATATCCCTGTACACTTTATGTAAGCCACACTGACCTAAAAAGTCTAGATGTATAAAAGTAAATGAATAAGAAATTGCGTCCATAATCCACTGTGATTTGTTTTAGTGTACACATCATAAACCTCATAACTAAAGTGTATTTAATTTACAATCTATAGCGGTTTAGCAGAGAGTGAGCCGATGTTTTATTCGAGGACTCTGAGGTCATAGGAGCCTGTTAGAGACCAGTTTCTGCTCTGCACATCAAGCCTGATTCCGGATATCTGATATGCTTTGAGCAGCCTGTGGTGTCATTTATTTGCTCGCTGATGCAGACGGGTGCAAGACTGGGCCTGGCCTGCAGATAACCAGACCTAATTAGAGAGCTGAGGATACTGGAACTAATATCTAAATCATCACAAACAGGGAGGTTTGCTGCAGGGATCCCTCTAAGAACTTGAACCAGTGTAAACATGATGCTGCATACACACACACACTTAAGGGGGATGCATAGTGACTTTAAACTGTGTTAGACATGCACTATAATTGGAAAAAAGTGCTTTTTAGCTTCTTGCATTTCTTTACAGGGGAAAAAAGGTTACATTAGATTTCCAAACATTTATCTGTCCTTTTCCGTCAGAGCATTTTTCACTTAGTAAATGTAATATGTTTAAAAGCATACTTTGAGTTAATCTTATCGTCCAGCTTTTCATTCTTTTTCATTTAATCTATTGTATCTTTATGAACTTACATTTTAATTTGATTTACTTTAAACCTTTTTCATTGATTCATGGATGATCTGAATTCAAATCCAACTTTTCTGCATTACATTGTTTTTTGTATTTTCATAACTTGTTTTTTCCTCCATCAGTCTTCCTTTTCATTTTAAAACTACAATTAAGGAGTTTTTAAGTACTGAATGCATATGTCCTCTTACTAAACGCTGATTTATTGTTGTGTTTTGCATACAGTAACTGTTTTGTTTTTCTGCGTTTTTTTATTTTTTTTATTTTATTTTTATGTGGAACTTCTTGTGCTGCTATCCTGGCCAGGACTCCCTTGTAAAAGAGATTCTGAATCTCAATGGGTTTATTTCCTGGTTAAATAAAGGTTACTAGCTAACTAGTTGAGCTCTTTTAAATCTCAACCACCAGCCTCTCCCCATTATAATTTCATTAAAAGTGTTTTTTCAATCCTTCATTCCCAGTTTTTATTAAGCCCTTCAGTTTAAGCATTTTTGTGAATATGTATTTGGGTATTACCTCTATTAATTTTCTGTTTTGCTACTTCATCTTTTGTTACATTTTTCTTGTATTTTGTCACAAAATATGTCTTTTGATTTGTAGATGTGGAGAAATACGTTGATATACCTTTGCCGATTCATATTTAATAACCTGTAATGGGTGCAAAGTGTTTGAGTTGGCCTCATAACAAAACTGAACATTCAGACAGAATAGACTGATCTGCAACCGCTGCAGTAATTTGAACTTTTACATTGTTTAAAAAGATGGAGTAACAGGACCATCTAGTGTTAAAACACAGTATCTGCAGCTGTTATGGGAGAAATTTACATTACAGGAATTACTGAGCATGTAGTGGATAAAAACTTCATGGTGCATAACTTTTGGAGGAGGAAAAATGCAATACAAATAAAAAGCTTGCATGACATTTTGACATGTGTCTTTGAAGATGTTATGAAACAAGGCATACTGAAATTTTTGTGCTCCAACTTATTTTCCAAAGGAGTCATTTAATTAAAGTAAATAATACCACTCTCATCAATCAGATTTAAGCAGCAATGAGTGATGTTGATGCATCACCACCAAAACTAGTGACCTGCCTCCTTTTAGAGTGAATAATCATGACTGACTTGTTTGGGGGTCCTTTGCAATGCAAGGTTTAGGACCTCTGCATCACTTCATGGACCAGGACTATGGTTTTGTTTTATTTTGGATGCTTTGTCAGAATTGCGCAGTGGTCGAAATCATGGCTTCGGCCTGTCTCTGTAGGTTGAGCATGTTTCCTCATGCATGCATGGCCTGGCGAACTGCCCCTAACCTGAGTGAGATAAGCGTCAACCCCCTTTTGACCTGAGCATGATAATAGATATAGATAATGGAGACATGGAGAGTTTCTTTAAGCTTTTAACAGGTGACTCAACCCTCCTGATAAGGAAACAGAAAAATGAATCCATCATAGAGATAAAAAGACAGAATAAAGAAAGAACAAATGATCTCAAGATGAAAAAGAAAAACTTTATTTTGCCATGTATTATTTTTAAAAAGTAATTATATAAGGCACAGTCAGAAATATAAATTCATCGCACAACAAACATTAAAACTATAATCATGACATCTAACACAACAAAAGTTTATACGATGGTTTATTTTTCTTGATTTAAGTTCATGCATGACATATTGGGTCATATCTGATATGATTATTTTGTGTTATTTATGAACAAGTTGGTAAAAGGTTATAGATGAAAAATACAAAGATTAGATATTAGCTTTATTCTACTGAGCAACAACTAAAAACAAACTGTTAAAAAAAATCCACTTTTTTGGAGCTATAAAGCAGAAGATGCCAGCAGAGATAAAAGTGCTCCAGGTTAATACAGAAATTATATGATGCAGTAAAACCGGGAAAGATAAAATGTTTAATGAGATGAATGAAAAATAAACCTGCAAGGTCTACATAATATCACTTTTAAAACGGCACAATATCTTATCTCAAAACAATTTTCAGGATTTCAAACAGCACCAAAGAAGAAACCACAGCAATGACTTCAACATAAAATCATAATCACTCAAATTTATCACTCAAGTACCAGAGGAGTTCAAGTTAGCACTGATCATTAGCACCATATTTCTTGAAGAATTCTGCTACATAAATGTCTGAATAAATAAAGACTGAACATGTTTCCTACAGTTTTCTGTCACGCGAAAAAGTGCTACCATGCAGGCTCTATTTCACCCCTAAAAGCTGCACTAGAATGCCTCTCATGATAACTTTATTAAGGTTTATCTGACAAGAACTACATCAACAAGTAAATATGGTTAAGTGGGTCAGCTGCCAAAATAACAAGCTTTTTTACAGCAATTTTTGAATTTTAAAACACCTCTACTTTAAATCAATACAAGACCTTATTTTGTCCTTTCAGCTAGTATATCAAAAAACTGCTACTACACTATGAAGCAGTGTGTCTTTTTTTGAGATAATTGAAAAAATTGGATAACACTACAGCTCCCTATAAGTGAAGCCAAAACATCGAAAGCCTCTTTTACTGACTAACTGCACCCAGCAAACCTTAAACGAAAATTTTACTCAGAGTATTCATCTTATTTCCAATCAATATATCTCAAACACTTAGAATGAGCTACATTTACATGACAAGTCAGTATTTAACGACTTATTTCAAGATATTGAAAGACAAAAAAATGGACTGTAATGGCTGTTATGGAGAAAAAAGTCCACCAATGCAACAAGTAAAATACTGCAAAAAAAGCAGCATATTTACTGCAAGTAAGCTGTATTTGTTGCACTGGCAGCCATTCCACTCACTTCAATCAATTTATTTATTATTGTCTCATTTTTAGTGTCCCGAAATAAGATGTCATAACTATCATCAGACTTATCTGTTTTATCATAATGCACCTTTGGATTGTGGGTAAAACACAAACAAAAACTGACTGAGGTAATTCTTCAGTTTCTTCAAAAGTAGTTCATGGGGCAAAAAGTTCCACATATTTCAGCTGTAAATGTAACCAATAACCTGTCGACTTCAGATACTATCAGGATCCTATTAAAATGACCTTGTGCTGTTTAAACTTTGGTCACTTCAGTGTGGTACACTATTTTGTGGCTTTATTTGGTCAAAGAAACAGTGTAACCAAAACAAAACTACAAATACCTTCAACTTTATTTCACTGACATGAGGTACTGTGTGATATTTTCCTCCTGTTGACAAAGTTCATAGGAGGCTGGCTCTTAAACGGTCTGGAGACAGACTTCTTTTGCTGTTAAATGCCTAAAAGAAAAGAAACAGGGTTGATTATATTTACCAAATAAACCAGAAAAGAAAACCTAAAGACAGCTTGTTGTTTTTTACTTTTATTTTTTAAAGGAACATACCCTTAGTGCCATGGATGCATGCGAGCAAACAGAGTGAAGCATCTGAGTTTAACATTTCTATAAATTCTAATGAGAGCAGAGCAACAAAAGAAAGAAATCTGTATCTCTGTGTGGTTGATTCATCGTCAGATATCATGAGGACTTACAAGACTGCGGGTCGGGCTGAGGGAGCGGGATCTCACAGGGCTGGCACTTCTGCTCCTGCTTCTGCTCCACTGTGGGGAGAATTGTTGTAAGTTGGTGCTATATAGATGAATATTGATAGATAGATAGATGATTGATTGATTGGGTGAAGAAGCAGTTCTTGAATTATCCTGCCTTAGATTAACCTGCATGCATACATTCAGACCCCAAAAGTCAAGAATAAAGGATTAAATCGTCTTTTATGTTTTTAGGTCCCTAAACTCTGAAAACATCGTCATGATCCAGCTGATTTCATGTCAAGATTTCTATTTGCTGGAGATGTTTTTGTGATAGTTAATGCACCCTAGATTTATTGATGACACTAGATATTTTTAAGTAGTTAACATGCTTTTCAACATGCTCAACAACTGGCAGTTTCTTTGAGTGTTTTGTGTTTTTTCCATGTTTTTTTTAACCTGACTAAAGGCTAATTAAATTAAAGAGTCAGTACCGGAGCTCCTCTTCTGGTCACAGCCTCGCCCTTCACCAGAAGAATATCTCCTTCTATCAAAGCAGGCCACACATGGTACATCACCAGAGGAGCGGAGAACTCTGAGTCATAGCTGCGACGATACCTGCAGACAGGCGGACAGAGAGGACAGCAGAGTGAGAGAGTTGTCGGTACATGTGTGGGTGACATCTATGTGCATCTTCTGGCAGAGACAGCAAATAACCCCAGATGTTTTAGGAACATGGAAATGCATGAGCCTTTAATTTATATTTCTCCAGAGGGTGCTGTAAGCAAACAAACTTTTTGAATTTAGACAGGACTGACTTGTTGTCATTGAAAAGTTCTCCATCACTTGCAAAAGCCAAATCAAGCGGCAGGTCTAATGTCTGCATGGCGAAGGCAACCCTGCATGTCTCCCTGATCAGAGTGTTGATGAGGGCAAAGTCGACTTCAGGCGGGAAGGAGATCCTCGGGTTCACGTTCATGGCGTTGATCACATCCTGAGAGGAGATGACATATGTTGGAATGAAACATCACCTTTTTTAATGTTTAAGTACACTGATTTGATATTGAGTCTTACATTTATGCTGGTCTGGACATCATACAGGTCCAGGTTTCTGACTATGTAGTCCACAGCCGCATCCTCCAGAGTCTCTGGACCAAAGTGAGATGAGGATAATGTCTTCTTCACTCGCAGCTTGAAGTGTCGGTATGCCAGTTTCGCTGTTTTAAAGGATTCCTGACACAAAAAAAACATGAAAAATACAATTTCATCATCAGACAGACAGATAAATCCTCAGTTTTTGACTTGAAGAAAAAAAGACAAATTAATATTTACTTTTTAAAAACCTTTGATAGCAACTTTACAGGGACATTTCACAGCCAATATAATATAGATGTATATATATGTATATAGTAAGGATAAGTAGGGATACACCATACAGGGTATTTGCCATTGTCCAATACAGCGACATCGAAGCAGTCTATCACTGTTACAAAGCTGGTTTATGTTGAGGGATGTCAGGATATTTTACTGAAAGTCAAGCTGTTTAGTTATACTGAAATGGAACTGCACTGGGTGTTTTGCAAACTCATGACAGCAGGATCTTTTTTGTGCATGATATGATATGAAAAACTCAATCCATCTGATGCTCCTATCTCTACAGGTGGCTCTTAATAAGTTCAACATCATACCACAACAGCGATGAAGATGATTTTCTGGACCATCTCTAAGTCAGAAATAAATCGTCTCAGCAGACTCTGAGCCTCGAGTCGCTCCACGGCATACAGGTCACTGAAGCGAGACACGAGTCGAGCGTGCCGAGATGAGTTGGTGAGCTGAGCTCTGGTTGGCGACTCGCTCCTCACCGGGCTGGAGGAACGACTGAGCAGAGGCAGGGGGCTCGGAGAACGACTCCTCACCAGCCTGAGGGAGAATTAAATCCTCATTAAACACACTTTTCTGCAGTTTTGGAGAGTTTTTCTGTCTTCATGAAAGTTACAGAGTGTTTGCATGTGTGTTATAGTCATACCTGTCCTGCAGCATGGCCTTCTCTGTGCTCAGGTAGGACACTTCATTTCTCAGTAAGCGGACCTGACGCTCATTGTCATCCAGAGCCTCCACCTTCCTCTTATAAATCTCCAGCTGCTCATGAGCCGACCTCAGACTGAAACACAGACACACTTCACATCAGCGGATGAATATCATGAGCACTAACAACCATGTTTCAGCAGTATTTGACTGTAACACTCACTCTGCCTTCAGCTGTAGTATTTCATCCTCAGTGGCCAGCAGAGTGGTTGCTGATTTACTCTTCGTCTCATCTAGTTCATTCTGAGCTTCAACCAGCCTGTTACAACAAAACAGACATTGAATGATTAAATCAATGTGTATCAGTTTATTTAGTTTAGACTGTAAATAGGTTAAATTGAATGTAAAGTGGATATAATTTGTCCAAAGCTGATTATCTAAACTACACCTTTAAATGAACCGTGCCGATGCAGACACAAAACTCTGCTCGGTTACGTTGCACCAAGCCATTTCTAAAAAAAAAAGGGACCTTTAGTGCCAAAATGAGAAGATATTATCTAAAACAAGTAAAATTATGTATAATGATCAATAAAGTGTCGCTCCCCAAGATGTTTCTGAATTTACTTGAGTCAAAAAGGAAGCAGATATCAAGACCAGACCAAATCAAAAACTATATTTTTATGTGATACAATAATAATTTTGAAAAGATTTCTTTCTACTTAAAAAAGGGAAAATAAAATCTCTAAATGCTAAAGTACTTTGACTTTGACTTTGACTTTTTGGTCCCCATGGGGAAATTCTTCCCTTAGCACATACTCCACTTCACAAAGTCCACCACAGTTTAACACAGAAAAGGACACACAGTGAAACAAATAAGAGACGCACATTTTGACAACAGCATTAAACATTCAAACATTTAACAGTCCACACTATGATGCTTCTAGCCAGGCCTGGAACCAGAACTCGAGAGGTCAAACAACATTCTCAGAAAGAGGTTTAAATCTATGAAATGCATTACCACCTGAAATGACAAATTTTTACATGTGCAGAATTAGCAGATACTGAAGCAGATCTGCAAACACTACCTCTCACTAACACTAAGATTTATGCACACCTTGTGCACTCTTAAAAATACGGTTGATTGTTTGACTGTTATTTGTCTCTATCTATTCAGATGTACATCTCATTTTTAGTCCTACATTATATTGCAAACCTTCCATGATCCGATTGTATGTTTTTAATGGTTGTAGTATTTTAAACTCTATGCTCTGTTATTTTGATTAAACCTTGGAAGCCTAACCAAGGATAAGGGTTGCATTTTTGTAATGTATGTATGATGTCATCTGCTTTGTATACAGTATGAAGCAATGTTTCTTGCATTTGTCACTGTCAAATAACCAAGTTACAGTATGATAAATAAATGATGGTGTTGTCAATAAAACAATCGATTTAGTCAATAAATGTTCTTAGCCCGGGAAGAGATGCAACTGGATGGGAAGTTGTGCTTTTACACAGCAGTTCTGTGAATATTAGCATTGATCACAACTTTTTGATTTCAATAATTCATGTTTAGGGAATAAAAAGACACAAAATCTTACAAAATAATTGGAACAAGTCAAATGCTAAGCTTTAAAACTGTCCATTGAGGAGAAATGTCTTGTCTGATTCCAACTAAGCCCATTTGGCAAAAGGTTTTAAAGTTTTTGGTAGAATGAAACTCACTCTGATCTGACAGAGTCCAGCTGCAGACGAGTGGAGCAGAGCTGAGTCTCCAACTTCTGAACGTCACTGTCATGAGACGCTGAGAGCTCCCTGATCCTCCTGTCCTTCTCCACTGAGTCCTGATCCAAAAAAAATATTGAAAATATTAAGAGTCTTTCTGTGTCTGTCTGTGGCATTGAAGAAATACATATTTATTAAATTGAAGTGCAGATTTATAAGGGCCAATGACAGCTGATGTTACCTGGATGAGTTGTAAACTGGTGTCATCAGTGACTGAAGGCCTTGCCATCGAGAAACAGGTCCCAAGCCAGGGCAGCAGGCGTGTTTTCAGAGTGTCCACTCCAGCATAATGTCCACCTGATTGTTAAAGTGTTCAAAACAGAGTGGGTGTTACAGGAAGCTTATTTATGTTCTGATATTCTTACATTCAAAAGCTGTATTTTCTTTTGAAATAACACACTAAAAAGACATTTCAAAGGTTTTTCAAACATGCTGAAATCAGTGGACAGGTAACAAAAAAGACATCTTGGGCAGTTAAATTTGCAGGCAGGACAGATTCCTTCATCATAAATGTTAATATTTCCCATTGCTGTATCCCTCACACTTATCGGTTTTGAGATTACAGCTGTTAGGACAGCTGTCAACAAACTCACAGGGTCATTACAGGGTGAAACAGGTCAATTTTTATGAGTACTTGGGTCATTCTGTGTAAGTTAGATTAGGGGAGTGTGAACTCACCTTCAGCAGCAGCAAGGTTGAGGATGGCAAAGAGCTGTCCCTGAATTTTGGCAGTGAGTTCAATCAGCTCACAACAACGATTTAGATTCTGGTCACAGGAAAACACCTACAGTGGTACAAACAACACACAATCAGGCAAGTCCAAATTCTGCCATGCTCACCTGTAAGAGACTGTTACTACTTAGTCAATCTGTTTTTGAAGGATGCACATGTTCAAAATATGATTGTGCCCTGATTAAAAAGACAAGCTCTTAGTTAGCCCCAACTGTACCTTAATTTAGGGGCTCCTGTTTACATAGTCTACACCAAGTGGTCCCTAGTGGCCATCACTACCCAGACAGTATTGCCAACTTAAGTAGAACCAGGCTATTCATGTCAGCTCCAGATCCTCTCAGTGTTGATCCCTGTACCAGAGCCTGCGCTCAACCAAGCTGCGGCATCGTCTGGTCCCTCTCAATTTCCTGCAATTTTTTCTCTATTTTTTTTTTTTTTCATGTTTTTGCCGTGTTTTTTCATCTGCTGAAAACGACACCCCCTGGTGACAGGCTGCAGTATAGGTCATAAACCTTGCCTCCTCCACCAAAATGAAGGGAGATATGGAAAAACTTTAGAAATAATATCAGAAATATAGAGAGCATTTTGGCTTTAAATTTGTAGAATGATGAAAGGCAGAGCCAAAATGTCCACAGTATATACAGTCTATGGTGTCACCTCACACTTTTGGAGGCAGGCTGTTCCACTTTGACAGAACCACAGATGAACAAGTAAGAAGAGCTTATAATACCTATGTAAATATTTTAGTGAGTCTTGATCATAGACTATGGTCTCACATTTCTTTGATTTGAAACTTAGCATACATCTAGTATGGACACCAGATATAGTAACTTAGCATTTTTGTTGTAAGTGTGAAAAACATTATTCCCCCTTTTATGACACATTTGACTATCAAAAGCCACCAGGATGAGATTTTTTTTTTCTCCAAAGATCATTATCAAAGTATGTAGAGGTCAATGTAAGTGAAGACTCCTTTGTCCGCAGAGGGCGCCAAAATTGATACATACTAAAATTTGTCTTTAAGATATACCACAATCTTTACAGTCAACAGTGAGAACATGAAAAGAAATGCATAAATAATTTCCTAGAGCAAAAGAAACATTTCCCAAAGGACAGGGATTTCATCAAACATATTCTTGAAAAAGTAATACATTTCAATATAATAAATAACGAACGATGTGAAAGAAACACAAACCATTCCTCATTTTCACTTTTTAACATTAACTTTTCTCATTAGATACAAAAACATTTAAAACACTTTTAAAACTGCAAATGTAACTGACAAAAATGCAAAAACAAACTCATGAAACACAAAAATATTTTGTGAAACACCCATTAATTCAGAGACACACAAAATGCATAAAAGAAAATTATTAAAAGAAATGTATTTCATGACATACAAAACACCTGTAAACACAAAACTATCTCATGAAACACAACAACATTGCAAAGAAAACAAAAAATTAGAAATATTGGAAATTAATCATCAATTTATGCAAACATAGATTATGATCTATAAAATGTTCTTGCTTTCTTGATTTTTTTAATAAAATCAATTTTATTGACATACTTAATTTTTTTTTTTTTTTTATTTTGTTGGTTTATCTCCTCTGACATACTTTTCTACTTCCTATTTATTTCTATTTATCTTTGTCCTTTAGTGAGATGCTCTGGCTGAGCGTAGCCATGACCTTGTTAATGGAACTGGATTAGATTAGATTATTAGATTAGAAAGAACTTTATTGATCCTTTTGGGAAGGTTTCCTTCGGGTTAGGGTTGGGGTTAGGGTCACCGTTGGAAGATTTAAAAGAGTGAAAAAGGTGACAGGGTTAGGGTTAGGTGAATATAGAGGTTCAAAGGTTTTAAATACTCAGTAGCCTACTGAAGAGCTTTTAAAGCTGTCCCTTTAAGCGCCATGGCAGCTGGGTATAGACTTGATTGCTTGTCCAAAGTAACTATTGTATATTGTAATATAATTATGAATTATTACTTTCAGCAATACAGAGTTCAATCTTTTCTTTTAAATGTCCCCAGATGTCGTTCTTATTAATTTCATAGCTAATTAGTTTCTTCTTTTTTTGCTCCTTTATTGTACAGATGGTTAAAACTGGCCGATATTATCATTATAATTAAATACGTGAAACTGTACTCAGTGTATTCCAAACACGACACACAAAAGAACTATTGAAGGTAAACTTCAGTGAAATTCCATCTTCATACCTTTGACAAGTTTCGGTTCCGGTTTAATAGCCTACCTCCGGTCTCAAACAGGAAGTGATAGGACGTGAACCATCACAACAATAAAATAAACGATCTTTGGAAAAGTCTAACCGTTTCCATGGCGACTGGCGTCCATAGCAACCAAACTCTGGAGTAGAAATCAATGTAACCGATATAAGTGCATTCCTTTGCTGTAATGTTTTAAAATCTCTTCAAGTACCTATTTAACAAACACAGAGTCCTATGTACTTAAATCTTACAACAATATAATTTGGAAAAAATAATCCTTTTAGGTAGAATTTTACCAAAAACGATTGAAAGTGGGGTAGTAATTGAATTCATCAGTTTTGTTTCACTGCAATCATATAAGCAATAGTCTTAGTCAATTATTATTCACATAAAGAGGTGCCTCTATTAGTTATTAAAAAGATCACCTGCTTAGAGCAGCTAAGACTGTTCAATGTTACTGATCAAGTGCTTTGGTCAGATTTAGGTCACTCATTCCTTATTAATGAACTTACATGGTAGTCTTTGTGCCAGCTCTCCAGTTTATCCTGCAGCACACTGAAGGAAGATGTGTTGGTAAGCCTCCTTAAATTGTCCGCCATGTCCGAGCTTGATTTTTTTCCTTTTTATAAAAGTAGTTTTAGGAAGGCACCAGGAGGGACGGGAGGACACAGCCAGCCAGCCGGACGGACGAGAGGGTAGTAAAAATTCTTCTCCACCCACAACACCGATGCAGAGCTGCAGTTGTAGCAACCAAGCGAGGAGGCGAGCACGACAACCAAACGTTCCAGTGTTTTCAATGAAAACCTCTGAACAGAAACTACAGGCTGTCAGAGCTCTGCATGCTCTGCTCTCCGGTCATGAAAATACGGTAGTAATGTAATGTCACACCGTCAAACGACACCAAAGGCCTCCAGACGAAAACCTGAGGCTCAGTGACACAGGGACTACATGCTGATGATTCAACCAATGTGGCTGTGCTGGATTGAAACACAAAATTATACAATGGGACGTGATAAAGGGAGAGTAACATGTTAAATCTGACTCGCAGTTTATTTTTATGTTTATTATATGTCTGGATTTGCATGTCTGCAGCTAAAACCAAGTAGAATATGGAGCAGGGTATATAGTTTTCTCATAAACTCTGCAAGAAGCAAGCTGCAAAGTATATTAAATACCATAATAATAACATTATTATTACTACTATTATTATTACTAATACTATTATTATCATCATTTTTATTCCTTTTTTAAAATATTGATATTTTTGATTTATTGTATAATTATCAGTATTACTGTGATTAATAATATAATGTTTATGATTAATAATGATAGTACATCTTAATTGCAACTGTAATGGTGTTATATTCGTTTGCTTGTTTGTTTATTATTTTCTGTGGTTAATTAACAAGCTGAGCCTTAAAAGTCACAGAAGGTATTGTTCATGAAGTGTCTGCAGAAGTTTGTTAAGCTATAAAAAGATGTTTACATAAAGTTTATCTTTGTGGACCGCTTGGCAGTTTACTTTTGGAAAATATGAATGGGGATGGTTTTCTATTTTTGGGTCCTTGTGTCATTGGCCGGTTGAACTTGGAATAAACCATTATTTATTATTGTGGAAATTCGTCCCTTTGTGTTGCTTTTTTAAATTCTATTGAGGACATTCTGTGACGATCTAAACAAACCAAATTTGTCTACTATTATTTTTTAATTATGATAACCTTTTATTTGTGAAAAATAATCAGCACTGTTTAAATACAAAAAGCCTGAGCGTTGTTATCTCCCCTCGGTAAAGTGGTTCATTCCTGTCACTCTGCGAGCAAGAGAGGGAGGGTCAACATGGCGTCTGAACAGGTCCGTTATCTTCGATATTCGTCTCTTTTTCTTGCATTTAACCCTGTTTTTCACTCAAGTTTGTCATGAGAGCAACAACCTGTGTTCTTTACAATCTGGTGTGATTTTGATTAATGTCCAGGGCTTTTTGTGGGACCTTTGCTAATATCATTGTAATAAACACTGGCCTCCTCGTCTTATAATGGAAGCGTTACATGTAAATAGAAATGCAGTGATTTTAGCAAAGCTACTCTTTCTCTGCTCTCTTACTTTGACAATTTAAAGAGCATTTAAGATGTAACACAGTAAAACAATCGAGTGTAACTCTGCATACCTCTATTTTGCTGCTAAAATGGTCGCAGTTTATTTTTAGTTATGGCCACAGACAGACAGTCGCAGGGTATTTAACTGAGATACATTCCTTTGCAGAGAAGCAGACACTTCAAATACAAGTGAAGTCATTTAGTGGAGAGTTTCATGCATTATTATCAGACAAACTGTAATTGTTTATATGCATGTAAACATAAAGAAGGAAAGATCTAGGACCACTCAGTCCTATAAAAACAACACGTAACTTTGGAAATGTTTGGAAATGTACACAAATAGATTTCTTGAATGAATTATTGCAGAGAAATTTCTAGGATTTAAGAGCAGGACTAAGCAGTATTACAGCAGAATATCATTGCCTTGACTTGTAATACATCATGTTTGCATGCGCCAGCTTTGACTATAAAAGATTTGGGCCTATCAAAGTTTTTTAAATGAAGTTATAATTTCTTGTCAGTAGAAGTCTTTATGCTGTGAGAATTAAGTTGAAACTTAATGAGAAAGAAGTGATCATTGCAGGTTATGGTTAACCTCTTCAACAATATCATTTAGGGGGATTTCAGAAGAGCAGTCCACTACCATTATTAAAGAGGAATGTGGGTTATCTTGTGAAGTCATACTTAACAGATGAGTAACAACAGCAGTTGCAGAAGCATGCTCGGACTATCTTTCAGGCTGCCCTTCTTCAGGTTAAATTTAGTCTGGTTTGCACAGTCTTGATTGAGTCTTGATACACATAACAATGAGATGATGACAGAGAAAAGATTGAGTTCTCACTGAGGGTTTAGATTTTGTTGGTTTTGATGCCCCCTGTGGACAAAGATGTAGATTTATCACTTGGCTGATCTTGTCATCTGCATGCCAGGGCAAATCTCATCCTACTTTTTAACAGCAAATTGTGATTCACTATGAAGATTCTCTGTTAAAATATGAAAAAGGCTGTTTTATCAATTTTTTAAGCATACTGTCAGTGATCTAGTCTGATGCCCTTTTCCACACAGCAGTTTTGTAACAGCCAGTAGAATATAAGATATAGTTTGTCAGTTATGTTGCTAATGGTTTCATTGGATTTTTCGAGTCATAAAGAGGCATCACTATCAATTCCAGTCTGTTTCACAACCAGTGAAAAACTCCTAATAGAGGCTTTGATGCAGCTGACTGGCTGCTTCTGATCTTTCCTCTCAAAAAACCTCTGAGCTTGACTTAAAGTACGGCTTCATTCACTGAAGGCCCCTGAGAGGAACTTTTTCTGTTTCTGTTAAATTTGGCACCCCCATACTGTTGCTGCTTTTGTCTCATCCTTGCAAAGGTTATTTGGGGGGGGGGGGGGGGAGCTCTTTCAGTTATGTTTTTGACCTGATGTGAATATTTAACTGTGGGTAAAGTAACCAAGGCTGTTTCTTTATTAACTTACCCCCTCAGAGCAGTTATAGCCATTTAAAATCACAATATAGAAACTGTCAATCTTATCATCAATTGTCTCATTTTCCTTTTAACAACAAAGAGACACATCGCTGTTCATAAAGTCTGTGTCATGACTGATAAAAAATTACTCACAGGAGCTATAAATGATGGCCCTAATCTTGAAAAGCCACACTTTAATTTTGAGAATTTACAACTTGTTTCCTACTCGCACATAAAAATATTTAAAAAAAATGTTTTAGGCAACAGGGTTTGCCTGATGTCTGAGACCAAAACAGAGCTGCCAATAAAAGTTTTTAATTGCAAGTTGGACAGTGTGCAGTATCCTTCCTTCTTTTGTGGACATTTGTCTCTTTCCTACTCACCTTCCTAATGAAACAGATGTGTCAAAAACTTTTTCTATTTTGATTCACACTTTTACTCCTGAAAAAAAACATCTTGTTCTATCCTCATGTAGCACTAGTCCTCTGACAAAACCAAATAAATCAAGTTAAATAAAAGATGAGATTTTGATTAAACATAATTTGGCTCTTTGAACAGAAATCCCTATCAATAGAATTTACCATGTCCCTGTTTTATGGCTCCTTGTGACAACACTGCTATTTCAGTCAATTCCTGCTTTTTACCTTCAAGGAGCAGTTTTATTTTACAGCGAATCAGATCCCATAACATATCATTTTGCGTTAGTTTTGCAGTTTATCAGTAGGAACAATATATTGCTGATGTTGATTGAGATGTGCATCATATCATACTGTATGAAGCCCTGTGATTCCCACCCTTGCTGGTTTTAAAACATCTTTAAAAATGGATAATCCATAAGGACTTTTTGACCAGAGGAAAATACATTTTTCACACGTTTTTGCAAGAAAAGCATGAACACAATCAGTTACTGCTACATAAGTAATTAGAATGAGGTTAATTTGGTCCAAAGAGTCAAGCCTGTGTACACAGATAGCACTGAAGCCTTAAAAGCTGAGGTTATATAAAGTAATGTTGATCTACTGATTCTTTCTGGTTCTACTCACTCAATGAAGAACAGACACCACAGGTTTGTTTTGCCTCAAAGTTTGTTTTGCCTTCCAGGAAAGCTCCAACGGGCCGGTGAAGAAGTCCATGCGTGAGAAAGCAATAGAAAGACGCAACATCAACAAGGAACACAACAGTAACTTTAAAGCTGGATATGTGCCCATAGAAGAAGAGCGTCTTCATAAGACAGGGCTGAGAGGACGTAAGGGGAACATGGCTGTCTGCATCGTCGTCCTCCTCTTCCTCCTCGCCTTAATTAATCTCATAGTGAGTAAAGAGTAAATATGTCCTCTGACTAAAATCTTGATGTCAATGTGTTAAAAAGGTTCATACTGAATCTTAATGTGGCCCCTGTTGTCTTTCAGATAACACTGGTGATATGGACGGTGATACGAATCGGTCCAAATGGCTGTGACAGTATGGAGTTCTTTGACAACGGCCTGCTGCGCTTTAAACAGAAGGCAGACATGGGCATCGTTCACCCTCTGCACAAGAGCACAGTGGGAGGACGCAAGGACCAGGACCTAGTCATCGTGGGCAACAACAACCCGGTAAGAATCATTCTGTATTTTCACAGTGAACCCAGAAACAAAGAAAACGTTTAATACTAAGCTCAATTTAATAACTTTTCTCTTTTATTTTACTCTCTGTTTGTCCCCCCAAGGTCGTGTTCCAGCAGGGCACCACTAAGCTGAGCGTAGAGAAGGATAAGACCTCTGTGGTCAGCGATGTCGGCATATCCTTCACAGACCCCCGCACACAGAACACCTTCTTCAGCACAGACTTTGAAAACCACGAGTTTCACCTGCCTAAAGGAGTCAAAGTTCTCAGCGTCAAGAAGGCGTCCACAGAGAGGGTGTGTACGACACTAAATACATCTGATAGTGGTGACAGAGGAGTGGTTCATGTGTTATGTGTTGCACAACCTGTGGACAGAGCACAGTCTGTAAAGCACTTCCAGTGTTTAAATGCCACGGCGATTTATCAGTTTAAAACAGGGAGTGAACAGAGTTTGTTGATTAGTAACATTTTAAGACGGAGAGTTGAAGCCGTTTTGCATTATGGTTTAAAAAATAACCTCTGCATTATTAACACAGAAGTAATCCTACCCAAGAATTGAGCTTGAGTAGTTTGCAGATACATGGCAAAAAAAAATAATTTCACAATGACATGGATCTGAAAAAGGTTGAATTACTTTCCAATGCTTTGCACTGTGCTTACAAAATTCTCTTCTGGTTCTAATTTCAGATCACAAGCAGTGCAGCCTCTGACTTGAACATTAGAGGGGACGGTAAGGCCATCATTCGTGGAAATGAGGGTGTCAACATCATGGGCCGGACTGTGGAGTTCAAAATGGGTGGAGGCATCGAGCTCAGGGCTGTAAGTATGAAATGATGTTATATATCTTTTGATTTATCCTCTAATCTGTAAGTGCAGGTTTCACATTCACAAAAAAGTCAGAGCAGTTGTTTGAAATTGCAGACAATCAAAGTCATCTAAGTTTATTGTAATAGAGAAGAAAGTAAACCAAAATATTCACAATTAAACAATGAAAAAAGAGAATTTGGCTCTTTCTTATCCAAACTTAACTACAAATCACTGACGTGATATTTAGTAGTTGCAGGTTCACATATCATGTGTTTCTCTATGCAGGAGAACAGCATCGTCCTCAACGGATCAGTCATGTTCAACGCCACACGCATCCCTAACTCTGCAGGAGATGTTTATTTTGATGAAGGCATGGACAGATACAAACTCTGCATGTGTGCAGATGGGACTCTGTTCCGTGTGCAGGTCAAGTATCCCAACATGGGCTGCCAGACTTCAGATAACCCGTGTAGAAAAGCTCGCTAGGAGACCTCTGCTGTTACATCTCTCGACAATCTGTCACCACTGTAGTCAGATTACACATTTGCTTTTATAGGTCGTTCATCGTGACTTGCACATAATAATAAGGATAATACCTCTGCAGCTCACCTAACATTATTTGTCTATTTTGGCAGTTTCCAAAACTGGAGATTTTGTTACAGAGAATTACCGCTTGGCCAAAGGTTATAAGATAATTTTAAGTGCCAAATTACTATTTTTTTGTTGCCAACTATCTAAAATGCTTTATCAATGCTAAACACACCCTGTATTCATCATTTTACTTTACCTTTAAGAATGCAAAATATAAAGGCCAAGCTGGAGTTTATCCTGTTTGCCTTACTGTCCAGTATTATCAATGCGTGCAGAGGTGTTTCATAAGGTTTTATTTTTATTCATTGATCTGGCAGCTGGTTTGTTATTTTCTTTATTGCATTCAGTAAACTTACAACACTAAAAGACTATAATAACTTTACATTAAAGCTGTAAAACATAAGGTACATTTAAGGCTATTTTAAAGCAGACAAGGTCTTGTTCTGCATATTTTGGGCTGTCTTTCATGCACGTGCCAATGGATTTACAAGGGATGATGAAGAATATAATATATATATATGAATACTCTATTGTTGTTGCCAAACCTTTTTTACAGCCTATAGTACATTATTTAGAATTTTAAAAAGAGTGTGTGCACTACAGATAAATGCAGTTTTCTGTCAAAGTTTATGTTTTTGTGTGTCAGGAAAGTTTTAAGAAGTCTCTTGGTTTTAATTTTGTGCAATATAAATATAAAAGATTTGACTTTTATTTTGCTTTGGGTTGTCTTGATTGTTTGTCAAGCTAATGTTGAGCAATTTCTTGCTTATCTCATGTATAATATTGGAGTATTAGAAACAGGTGTCAGAAGAAGAATGGTGGAAGATTACAGGGTGTTAGATCTTGGGACGTAAGTTGAAACCTTTCAGATAATTTTTATCATAAGTAGAAGTTAGTTATAGGAAAAAAGAAATCCATCTATAATGATGTTTTGCATCACAGGGATTTTAATTTCTTATTTTAATTTCTTCTTGTATGTAAAAGTTTGACTTTTTCCTTGGAGAGACGATCTCCTTCATTCTCTTTAATACTCTTCAAACCTGCAGTGAGAGGTTGAATCATGTTTGTAATCATCCTCATGGAATAAAAAAGTTATTAGCCAAATCTAAAAAATGTGGCCAACATGCCATTGCTGTGTTGACTTAATAAAGATGTTGCCATGTGAAACTTCTTATCATTGGTTTCAGTGAGTGTCTCAACTGTTTATTTGGTCATTGAAAATCATAAAAGCCTACAGTTCCTCATCATGCAGTTTTATGATCTAATAGAATGTGCAGGCGGGGGCATGGTCCTCCTTGCCATAAACTGTCAGGACTGTAGTTATCGGTCATACATAAAATGGAAAACAATGACTGTAAGACATTAACCAGACGTGTGTCAATGATTGAATGAATTGCAGAATGGCATTTTTGAGAAGGTGCATATTCAGCTAGACGCAGCAAAACACTCCTCAGACTTTGATCAGGAGTGACAGTCGAAGTTAAAGCGCTGAAGGTTTGGAGGGTGTGAAAAGATTTTCCCAAGTCTCAAGATAAACAGGTGAGTTTGACATTTTAATTCATTTACTGTACATGAATAACTTTTTAAAACTGCCTTTACTTATGTTGTTTCAGAATTGTTTCCAGGAAAACAAAGTTTAATTGTAAGACAGTCATTTTTAAATGACAAAAAAAAAAAATCAAAGTGGTGTGATGTTGGGTCATTCTGTTAGATAAAACTAAAAAAAAAATTTGAGAACAAGTAGATGAATAATGGTAAAAAAAAAAAAAAGGAAAAAAAAAACTTAGGTAGATCATAGAAAGTTGTTTTCCACCATATAAAAAATCTAAATAATGACGTGATAAATCATTAACAAACGGAGAGACAAAAGAGTAGGATAAAAAGTTTAAAATATGAATAAAAAGTTTAAAATATAAATAAAAAGTAGTACCTACTTCTGTCAATTTAATCTTACTTTGGGTTACACCTACAACCCAAAGTAGGATTAAATTGCTACTTCACAAATGCACCCTTGCGGTAGAATAAAATCAGTACTTCCATCAAAAATGTGAATGTGTTACTACGTGGCCTCATTTTATAGCATGTCTATTTTAGTGCTGACGTGAAGGATTTATTGTTGTGTTATGGTGCCAAGCAACAACAAGCTAACAGATATGCTAAATGTAGCATCATCTGCAAAACTGTTTTTCATAATACAGCGTTGAGGCTGTGCTTGAAGTGTAAAAAATATATTAATATATACATATGTCATATTTAGAGGTATAAATCTGTCTTTCTTGGACTTAAGGAGGGGAGTGAGCAGCAGCTAACGTTAGCTTAGCTGTTTGTGAATAATTGTATAACAATAATAGTGATCAAAATACATACAAATAAGATAACTGGCATACAGAATATTGTTAAAGATACAGTATGTACATTTAAACAGTTGGGGAGGGGTCAATTTGGCAAATACAGAAACTGGAAGGGATAACGATACCAGAGATTCATAATTTTAGTGTTTAGAGAGCTTGTTTTTTCATACTTAAAATATGAGTTTTAAGAAACACATTTACCGACAGCACATTTAGTGAGCATCATAAGAATTTTGATTATTTTAAGACTTTGGGCAAATTGTGCTCAGTGTACAATACAGAATACAAATTGATTGTTGGCAATTGTAAAAAAAAAAAAAAACTGTATGAGCATCCCTCCTGATTTCTAAGTTGTGTGTTCAAATTGTATATTTGAATCCTGTCTCATTTTCCTGATCTTTGTACCCTCAGGGCAGCTTGTGATGGCAGTGGCACAGCTGTTGCTCTTGGCTGCTCTGCTGCTCTGTCCCTCCTCAGCCGTTCCTGCCTGTCCAGAGTCCTGCTCCTGTCAGAGTCCTGATCAGCTGAACTGCTCCTCCTCAGACCTTACTCTTGTGCCAAAACCTATCCCAGACTCTGTCGCCGAGCTTGACCTGTCTGATAATCACCTTGACTCTGTAACACTCGACAGACCACATTATAACCTGAGGAACATTTGGCTGGGAAACAACAGTATCACACACCTGACTCTCTGCATAGAGAGGGGCCTGGGAAGCCAAGATGTCACAAGTAGACGCCTTCTTCAACAGAGACCTTGGCAAAGAAGAGGGTGCGTATCCTGGGCCCCCGCCTTGCAGCTGCTATCTGTTGAGAGGAATCAGCTTGACCAACTCCCAGAGGGTGAGTCAGTATGATATGGTCATACACCCATTCATAAATGACTGCTGCAGCACATGAACAGAGCAATAAACATTCCTTAGAGTGATCTCAGTACAGAACCAGTGTGGGAATGTATTTAAACATAGCAAACAAATACTGTCAGACTCTCTATATGATTTATATATTCAGTGCTGAACAGTTCTCGAACTCTTAATTGCCTTTTTCTTTTTTTTTTTTTGTTGGAAATCTATTAGAGTTGGACTTGTAAAATATTCATCCCATTTACTCCTGGATAAAAGTGGCCTAAACACACACAAAAAATACTTCTGTACATGCTGTATATGTTAAACCCTCACCTTTCAATTTTCTTTGGCTAAATTAATATTTGCAAAAAGTAAGGAATTAAAAAAAAAGAGATAAAAAAACAGGGTAGTTGTGTCTCTGGTTCAGTGATTCCGTGTGGTGAAAGATGGCTTACCATATATTTTACATGTAAACAAGTAAATTACACAAATATGACAATAGAAACTGGAATGTTTGCGATATCTGTATGTTTGCTGGTCTACACTGAAATTCTCCCATGCTCACCCCTCCCACCTTTAAACTAGCGATGGCCTTCTATTACAAGATATTTATGAGACGCATTTTAACCATGATAAACATCCCTCAATACAAACTCTGCACACAACCACTCTCTTTATTTTGTCTTCCAATCGACGCAACAACAATGCTTTTATTACTAGTTTTGCCATTATGTGCTGTTACAGAAACATGGCAGTGAATGATTTGGCTTTTGTAGAAGGGGACCTGTTCCTGTAGAGATTTAAAAGTCTCATTTTAAGTAAGCGGAAATAAAACATCTTCTGTATGCAGGTGACTATACAAATGTTTTAAACACACTTAGGAGTATGTTATTCCATTTCTGCCAAGTCTATTTACCTAACTGCCTGTAAATACACACTGTACCTTAAAAATAATAGTAAAGATGCATTACTTTTCCTGATCAGTCATAACACATGGCACTGTTAAGTCTAAAACCTAAACATTACCTGTAGCCTTTACTATTCATAGGATTTCCACACACTTTGAAGCTGTATTTAGAATCTTTTAAGCACTGTCCACAGAAATACTATGTTAAAAGATGCAGGATTTAATAGTCCCTAGCATTATAGTCACAAAATGTTAAATATTTGTCTAAAATGTTGAGGACTGGAACACACTTTTCAGAACAGAAATGAAATCAATTTAGTGTATAAATTATTACACAATATCTATAATGAACTACAGAACACACCCAAGATGCTGTGGGGACACACAAGCATATAAATGTGCAATGTTTGGGTGTGGACCCATAATATGTTTAGTATCTCTAAAGTTCAAAAGCAGGCAGAAACTATTCTTACAATTGTTTTTGATGCCTTTATCTCAAGATCTCATGCTCATTATTTTCTTATCTTCATCTATCTAATCATGTTGCCCTTACCTTTTGTGCTCTCTTGTTTTTTTTCTCTTTTATTTGTTTTTTTCTGAATACTGAAATGAAATTACACCACCAATGCCACTTTCTCTTTGGATCTGATTATGTTAAACTAGAAATCCAGTCATTGTTGAATTTATGGTAGGTCACTATAGAGGAAAACAGAAAGCAAATCTTGTTTTCTGCTGTAATCGATCGCATTATCTTGAAAAAGCAGATAGCTCTAGATAAAAAGATCTTTTATTATGAGAGATATTGTAGATCTGGACAGTGAGTACCCTGCTTAAGTGTTCACACAATAGTTTTAGTTTCAAGATTGTGGTCTTGGTTGCATGTGGGATTTTGTGATGAACAGTAGTGTAGCTTTAGGTGAACGTACACTGTGATGCATTGATAAATGATAGGCAGTCCTTAATCTGTCATTTACAGATGAAAAGTGAGTTGTGTGTCTCCAACACTTTTTCATGTATAATCAGCTTTTAACTTGTGATCCACTTGTTGTCCACCTGTTTACTAAACATGCATACTTCGAGAAAGTTTAGACTTGTGTCATTATAGTGCCCCCCAGTGGACAAAGTGTATAGTAAGTGTTTTCTGATATAAATAAATAGTAATTTTAATAGTAATAATAATGAAAATTATGACTTTTTGACAGTTTAATTTTATTATTATTGTTACTTTTTATACAGGATACATTTAAAAAAAAAAAAAAAAAACTGCAGTGGTTTCGGGCATTGAGAATTACTATGTAGTAACAGTCAATCATGTTGCAGATGGTTCCATTTCTTTTGGAGGTCGTAAAGAGGCATTGCTTTTTCAGACATCTGTTTCTAAACTCTCCCAAACTCCTCGCAGTGACTCACATTCATTCCCTGATGCACTTATCATCTCATTTTTATGTGCTAGTGATTAAAGATTATGCATCTGATGGTGCGGTTGAACCCTCTTCTGAGAACACACCTTAAATTGCCCTCTTGAGAATAATTGGAGTTAAACCTTATAAATAGGTTTGGCTTGCAGAGCTGTTGTCGACCAAATTCTGCCTGAAAGGTGTCCTAAGTTCTGCTGTTATGTCCAATAGATCCATTTGCTTTTTCTTTTTTACCGTCCTTTTTTCATTCTCAGAAAGAACCAAACCCTCTCATTGATATCCGTTATCTTTAGTACTTTGCTCCACTTAGAAATTATTAAACCTCCAGAGATAGTGACACTGTACACCCTAAGGCTCGTCACAGCTTTTATTGACATTCCAGTGACTCAAGGAAAGGTGTAAACATGCAGTTAAACTTTAAAGATTTCCTCTAGCTTCATATTTTTCGTGGAATTCCTTCTGCCTTGTTGAATATTTGTGTGCTACAAAGAAAAGCTTTTACCGTGGTTCCTTTTAAAGGCATGTGTGGACAGCCCACTTACTTAGCGAGAGCTGTGTTGACAGTCATAGACTTCTCTCCTGTTTGGTATTCAGCTCACAGAAGCCTCAGTGCTTCCCTAATGAAGCACAGACCCACAGTGCCTCACTTCAGCCCAGCAGTCTCAGGAAGATTGTCTCGGACTAGTGAAAAGGAGGAGACAGCAGGGGAGACCGAGAACCACAGACAAATTCTTAGCCCCTAATTAGTTGTATTGGAAGAGCATTCACGGTGAAAATGAGAAGGAAGAGTTTGGATTCATACGCCAGGGGAGGGTGTTTATTGATGTGGATATTTTACACTATTCACTGTCCAAAGTCCAGCGAAAGAGATAGAGGGAGAGAGGCCTGTAGTCTGCATATTTCTCAGGATTGAAAGCTCTGCAGTGCTGCAAACAACTGCCCTCATAGCTCAATGTCAACATGTTTTCACCTTACAAATTATAGTGCAGACAGTGCCGCAGATAAACCTCCGTCATCCTTATTCACTCCTGAAATTGTTTTAGGATTGTGCAGGTTGGACGTATATGTAAAAGCAAATGGTCAAAAAATTCCCCCTGACTATAGGCTGTTTTTTCTTGCCAGTCCCAAAATAAAAGTCTGAGGAAATCCAGCAGTAAACACTGGATTTATACTTCTGAATCCAATCTAAGCTGTAGCAAACATGGTAGGTACACAATGGCTACTTATGCCGAACCCCTCATACATAGATAGCCTGCACTCCGTGCATTTTTTTCCCAAAGTTATATTTTGGGGCGTTTTTGCCTTTAAAGATAGTGGAGAAAGACAAGAAATAAGGGGGAGAAAGGGGACAACATACAGCAAATGGTCAGGACTCAAAACTGCAACAGCTGCAGGGTCTGTGGTCTCCACGCTAATACGCTAGGCTATCTGCACACCCCTGTGCATAGTTGTTTTAAACTTATTTGTGCTAGTTTTACCAAGCCAAGTTTTTCCTTGACATTGTTAAACCATATTAAAACTAAACTTGGTAAAAATAATTTTAAAAAAAAAGTAAAATAAGTTTTTTTTTTCCTCAGTTGACTAGTTGAACAGCAAGAGCCTGAAAATTTCATGTCCTGAAGGTCCTTAAAAGCCAGGAGATCATGTATGAGAGAGGATACACAGCACATATCCAGTCCCCTTTTAAAGCTGCCACTGAGTGCCAATAACAGCTCTTGTTTTCTGTCATCCAGGGCTGGCGGGATGTCGATCCTTGCAGGTTCTGCAGCTTTCATTTAACAGAATTTCAACCATTCGATCACAACAACTCAGCCATCTTCAACAGCTAAAAGAGCTTCACCTACGACATAACCTCATCACGAGTCTACATCCACAAACATTCAAGGATTTAACCCAGCTCAAGGTAACAGTTAAATCTTAAATCATACATCGACACAAATACCTCAGAAGTAAGTCAATGATGTCGGACATTATTCATATTCAGTTTCTAATCAATAGTCCAAATCAATGGACCAAATTATCAATGCAACTGCTAGTCTGATTTTGCACTCACAAGATCAAACGTTAACTGGCGACTAGTCTGTATACAGACTCAGTCAGGGTCTGAGCACTAAAGACGCATAATTGTGGAAAAATAGGAACAAGGTTACAAGCATTGGGTAAAATTGAAAGGGGGCATTGCGCCACCTACTTCAGCGGTGGCGGGTCTGAATGCTTCTGGCAATAATTCAATTTTACCCAATGCTTGTAAACTGGGACAAGAACAGTGGTCTACCTCAATGCCTAACTGGGCTCGACTTAGCTGTGCATCTAAATGTATTGACTGATTTCACTGGATACTTCTAAAAACTCCTGCTTGTCCATTTTGTTTCCCCCCTACAGGTGCTGGACCTGAGCTTTAATATGCTGACCAGCCTCCATCCATTGACGTACCTGTCTTTGCACAATATTGGGACAGATGTTTGGTTTGCTGGGAACAGACTAGATCACCACCAAAATGTGACAGTCTTTAGTGGGTCTGAGATATGGCTTTCCTGCTCTACACAAGGTAACAGTCAAAAACAGTACAAAATAATCTAAAACACACTGAACACATTATATTCAAGTCTAAAAGCATATCATTGATTTGTTTTCATATGCTCATTAGGGTTGACGCCAAGTGGTCAAGCATCTGTAAGCCAACCTGGGTCTGGTCTTCTAACCAAGGACATCAAAGAGACAGATACTGGACTGTATGTGTGTGTGTCCGGAGAGCAAGAAGTTGCATCTGTTTTCAACCTCCAAATCAGTAAAGTTGGAAGTACACACAGAAAAGCTCGAAGTTTACCCGAAAACAGCCATCAGATTATCTCACATGGCAGAGTAGAGCAAGAGAGGAATACACGCACTACTCAGTCTGACTTGGCTCTTGCTGTATGTCTGTCTATTTTGTTCACATTTCTAGTTGCTTTTGTCCTTGGAGTCCTGGCAAGACCTTGTGTAGATCGTCTTTGGAAAAGGGTTTCCAAAAAGAAAAGCTCTACAGTGACAAACACAGTCTCAACTGTAGAACAAAGTCAATATGACAATGGGGCCTACTGCAATGTAGAGGAGCTAGGGGTGATTGGAAATCACAGGGAAAGGAGAGTCACATTTAGCACTGTCGACTACAGAGAAGACACCAATGTACAATATTATGACACTGTAGCCAGTGGGGATCAGGAAAGCATAAATAATGACTCTGTGTTTGAATGTGAAGCAGCTGTGGCTGGGAGGGAAAGAGTCAGAGATTCAGGGAGTGAAGGACGAAGCAGTCCAGAAGATAACCAGAGAGATGGCAGAGCTCTGTCAACTGCCACTGTTGTGGAAATCACTGAAAAGAGGAGACACTCATCTTCATCATCAGATTCTTCATTATCAGACAAAGAAAATAATGAGAAACAAGTGGCCAAGCAAGACATAACAAGATCCAAGTCTCCCCAGCTCGCTGAGGAATCTATCCAGCAGAGAGCGAGCATATCAACAGTGCCCCACACCTCCATCGAGAGCACGGATGTAAGTCTTGGATTTTCTTCTGAGCCTTTTGCAGGTTGGTCCCCACATGCAGATCAGTGGCAGGAAAACGAGGAACAATTTGAGTTTAGTGATTCCATTCGAAGCAACTCTCCAAGGTCCAGCAGTGTGCTTGGTGCTTTTGATCATCCCCAACTAACACATAAACAAAAGAGGGGTGATACATCAAGCTCCAGTTCATGTTTAAGTGAAAACGAGATAACACATTACACTGTAAACTCAGAGAAAGACGAGGAGGAGGATGCGAGCAGGCTCTCACTGGGATTTAATCACAGTGAAACAGGCACTAAAAAAGCTCACTCTTCTTCATGTACTTCCAGTGACAGTGATGAGGAGGGTCACAAAGTAACACAAGCAATAGGTATTGGAGTGGTGAAGGTGGAGTCAGACAAGCTAAGCAGCAGTGTGGTTACAGCAGAGTTGGATAACAAAGAGAAAGTAAAACCTGTGCCACCCAGAAGGACGAATGTACCCAGTTCGACTGTTGACATTCAGGGCAAGAGAGTTAAACCTCGAGCACCTCCACCACCAACACATCATTCATCCTCCTCAAGCAGTGAGAGTGAGGCAGAAGACAAGTACCTCCATGTGGAAAATAAGCAAGGGCAGACCGAGATGTCAGAGGTTCAGTTACAGAAAATTCAGACATCAAGTAATGTCGTGGGAACCCAGAGGCCATCTGAGGGAGATCAGTGGCCTGTCCTGAATCTTGATCAAACTACACGGCTCAAAAGGCGTCTGGATATCAAAGCTAAAACCCCCACCTCCAGTTCATCTTCTAGCAGTGACAGCGATGATAAAACAAGTGTATCAGTAAAAGAAAAGCCAGGAAGATTGCACATTACCAATCAATCTCAGACAATACCCACACCTTGCTCTGACTCATCTTCTAGCAGTGACAGTGAGGATGAAGCCATAAAGAAAGAGGTGCAAGGGCAGATGCAGGTGGCAAGACCTCATGAACCAGAACCACAGTGGCCTTCCCTTGACCTTGAGAAAACAACAAAAATCAAGAGGCGCCTGGATATCAAAGCACAATTACCAGCTTCTGGATCATCATCAAGCAGTGAAAGTGAGGATGAAACAAGGGTGTCAATTAAGAGGCCAACTCTTGCAACTCAGACTGTTCCCCAAATGCACCCTGATTCATCTTCAAGCAGTGACAGTGAGGATTATACTTTCACAGAACCAATAAGGAAAGAGCAGGGCCAGCTGCACACAGTAAAACTTCCACATCAAGATTCCCAAACTGGAAGTATTGACCAAGAATCAGGTTGGCCTGTCCTTAATCTTGGGAAAGGGATGCGTATCAAAAGGCGTCTAGATATCAAAGTAAAAGTACCTGCTTCTGAATCATCCTCAAGCAGTGACAGTGATGAAGAAGTGAGAGTGTCCATAAAGAGGCCGGGGAAAGTAGAAACTGCAAACCTTGGAATTCAAGGATCTGAAACAGTATCTAAATCTCACTATGACTCCTCTTCCAGCAGTGACAGCGAAGAAGAAGCAATAAAACCAATGAAAAAACAGGACCTGGGCCAGTTGCACATCACAGCACCTTCTCCTAAAGAGAGTATTGATCAAAAATCAGATTGGCCTGTCATCAATCTTGAGAAAACGCTACGTGTGAAAAGGCGCCTGGATATCAAACCACAATTACCAGCTTCTGGATCATCATCAAGCAGTGAAAGTGAGGATGAAACAAGGGTGTCAATTAAGAGGCCAACTCTTGCAACTCAGACTGTTCCCCAAATGCACCCTGATTCATCTTCAAGCAGTGACAGTGAGGATTATACTTTCTCAGAACCAATAAGGAAAGAGCAGGGCCAGCTGCATACAGTAAAACTTCCACATCAAGATGCCCAAACTGGAAGTATTGACCAAGAATCAGGCTGGCCTGTCCTTAATCTTGGGAAAAGGATGCGTATCAAAAGGCGTCTAGATATCAAAGTAAAAGTACCTGCTTCTGAATCATCCTCATCAAGCAGTGACAGTGATGAAGAAGTGAGAGTGTCCATCAAGAGGCCAGGGAAAGTAGAAACTGCAAACCTTGGAATTCAAGGATCTGAAACAGTATCTAAATCTGAATCTGACTCCTCTTCCAGCAGTGACAGCGAGGAAGAAGCCATAAAACCAATGAAAAAACAGGACCTGGGCCAGTTGCACATCACAGCACCTTCTTTTAAAGAAAGTATTGACCAAAAATCAGGTTGGCCTGTGATCAATCTTGAGAAAACGCTACGCATCAAAAGGCGCCTGGATATCAAAGCACAATTACCAGCTTCTGGATCATCATCAAGCAGTGAAAGTGAGGATGAAACAAGGGTGTCAATTAAGAGGCCAACTCTTGCAACTCAGACTGTTCCCCAAATGCACCCTGATTCATCTTCAAGCAGTGACAGTGAGGATTACACTTTCACAGAACCAATAAGGAAAGAGCAGGGCCAGCTGCACACAGTGAAACTTCAGCATCAAGATTCCCAAACTGGAAGTATTGACCAAGAATCAGGTTGGCCTGTCCTTAATCTTGGGAAAGGGATGCGTATCAAAAGGCGTCTAGATATCAAAGTTAAAGTACCTGCTTCTGAATCATCCTCAAGCAGTGACAGTGATGAAGAAGTGAGATTGTCCATCAAGAGGCCGGGAAAAGTAGAAACTGCAAACCTTGGAATTCAAGGATCTGAAACAGTATCTAAATCTCAATCTGACTCCTCTTCCAGCAGTGACAGCGAGGATGAAGCCATAAAACCAATGAACAAACAGGATCTGGGCCAGTTGCACATGGGAAGGCCTCCACTGCATAAATCTCAGACTAGTGGTCATGCTCCACCAACACAGTGGCCTCTACTTGACTTTGAGCATACAACAAGCGTCAAAAGGCGTCTTGATATAAAGGTTCAATCAAGGGCATCTGACTCATCATCTAGCAGTGAAAGTGAGGATGAAACGACAAACTCTTTGAAGAGGCCAAAGTCAGTGGACATTAGCAAAGTTGTAATTCAGAAGCCTCAAACAGTGCCCAAATCTCAGTCCAATTCATCTTCAAGCAGTGACAATGAGGATGAGTCCAACAAACCAATAAAGAAACAAGGACTAGGCCAGTTAAACATATCAAAAGTTACACATGACAAATATCCAACCAATGATTATCAAGACCAGGAATCAGGATGGCCTGTTCTCAACTTTGAGCATTTACCACGTGTGAAAAGGCGTCTAGACATCAAAACACATTTTAAAGTTTCTGACTCATCAAGCAGTGACAGTGAAGATGACACAAGAATATCCAAAGTAAAGTCAGGAAGATTGGATAAAACCAACCTGTCAATACAAAAATCTCAGTTAGTACCTTTAGATAACTCCAGTTCATCCTCTAGTAGTGACAGTGAAGAAGATGAAGACAAAAAAGTCTTGAAGAAACAGGAGCAAGAGAAAATGCATGTGACCGGACTTCCACTGGTAACATCTCAAACTAATGTACCACAGTCACAGTGGCCTCTGTTAGACTTGGAGCGTACAACAAGCATCAAAAGACGTCTGGATATTAAGGTTCGATCAGAGGTGTCTGACTCCTCATCTGATAGAGACAATGAGGACAGAATAGCTAGCTCCATCAAGGGGCCTGGGAAAGTGTACCTTGAAAATCAGAAGCCCCAGTCAGTACCCATATCTCACTCTGATTCATCTTCCAGCAGTGACAGTGAGGATGATTCCACAATACCAATGAAGAAACAGGAGCAAGGTCAGCTGCTTGTGACTAGACATCCCCTGGACAAATATCCTCCCGTTGGTCAAGAGTCAGATTGGCCTGTCATAAATCTAGAGAATTTACCGCGCCCCAAAAGACATCTAGATATCAAGAGACAAGTTAAAGCTTCTGAATCATCAACAAGCAGTGGTAGTGAGGATGAAACAAGAATATCTGTAAAAAGGCCTGATAGTTTAAACACAGCTATTCTTATCACACAGAAATCTCAAACAGTACCCACACATCATTCAGACTCATCTTCCAGCAGTGACAGTGACAATGAATCTCCAGAACCTATAACGAAACAGGTCTTGGAGCAGAGGCAATTTACAGGGACTTCATTGGAAAAACCTCTAACAAGTGGTCATGTCACGCAACCACAGTGGCCTCTTTTGGACTTTGAGCACACAACAAGTATAAAGAGGCGTCTTGATTTTAAGGTAAAATCACAGACCTCTGGCTCATTATCAAGCGGTGACAGTGGAGATGATAAAAATAACTCTTTAAAGGGCCCTATTAAAGTGGACCAAGCAATTCATAAGCCTAAAACAGTGCCCGCACTTCACCCTGACTCATCTTCCAGCAGTGACAGTGATGATGATTCTATTAATCTAAGAAAGAAGCAGGAGAAGGTGAATTTGAAAACAGAAAGACTTCCACTCAAAGAATCTCAAACTGTAGGGCAAGGCCTGGAATCTGATTGGCCTGTTCTTAATCTTGACCACATACCACAAGTCAAAAGGCGTCTAGATATCAAGGCCAAAAAAGCAGCTTCTGAATCATCTTCAAGCAGTGACAGTGAGGACGAAACAACTATATCCAAGCATGGGCCCGGGAGATTGGAAATAACCAACCTTGCAAATCAGAAACCTCAAACTGTTCCGACACCTGCCTCAGACTCCTCTTCCAGCAGTGACAGTGAGGATGAAGCCATAAAACCCATGAACAAACAGGATCTGGGGCAGTTGCACATGGGAAGGCCTTCACTGGATAAATCTCAGACTAGTGGTCATGCTCCACCAACACAGTGGCCTCTACTTGACTTTGAGCATACAACAAGCGTCAAAAGGCGTCTTGATATAAAGGTTCAATCAAGGGCATCTGACTCATCATCTAGCAGTGAAAGTGAAAATGAAACGACAAACTCTTTGAAGAGGCCAAAGTCAGTGGACATTAGTGAAGTTTTAATTCAGAAGCCTCAAACAGTGCCTAAATCTCAGTCCAATTCATCTTCAAGCAGTGACAGTGAGGATGAGTCCAACAAACCAATAAAGAAACAAGGACTAGGCCTGTTGCACACAGCGAAACCCCCTCTTAAAGACAGCATTGACCACAAATCAGGTTGGCCTGTCCTAAAACTTGAGAAAAGGTTCGGCGTCAAAAGGCGTCTTGATATCAAGGCACAAATACCAGCTTCTGAATCATCCTCAAGCAGTGACAGTGAGGATGAAAACACAAATTCCATAAAGAGGCCAGGGAAAGTGGGAATTACCAAATTAGCGACTCGGATAACAACTGTACCCACACTTCACTCTGACTCATCATCCAGCAGCTACAGTGAGGATGAAGCTACAAAAGCCACACAGAAGCAGGAGCAGGGGAAGTTTGACACAGCAAGACCTTCACAGTGGCCTCTGCTTGATCTAGAGCACACAACAAGTATCAAGAGGCGTCTAGATTTCAAGCCACAACCACCTCTTATAGACTTTTCATCCAGCAGCGACAGTGAGGAAGAGGCAAGGAACGAGTTTAAGAAACAGGCAGAACATCAGATCCAAACATTCCCTAATTCAAGTTTAAAATGGCAAAAAATGGATTCCAGCACTGGTGTGGACATCAGGCCACATTCACCCACACATGAGTCATCTTCAAGTAGTGATGAAAGTACAGGGAATTCAGGCAATCAACCTGGTTCAGCACTGCCTGATGTTGGTATGAGTATCTCCTACAAACCTCATTTAAATCTCAAATCACCATCTTATCTGGAGGCTAATCCAGTTTTAGGTCCTGTGACACCAGGCTCTCAATTATCTGAGTCAAGCTCTTCCACAAGTGAAAGTGAAGATGAGAACAAGGACTACAGAAAACTACAACTGGGACCAACTGACCACAAGACCACAGAAAAGGAACACATTCAATCTCCAACATCCCCAGTGATACACATTCCTCTCAGTCCAAAAACAGACCCCAATATTACATTAGAGAAGTACAAAGTCATTACCCATGAGAGCATCAGCACAACGCCAGAAATAAGCCCAGAGCTTCAGTTACGGTGGGCCACAATGAATCTTGGGATTTCTCGCTTCAGAAAGCGTCTTGATGTCACACCCCGTGCTCATGGACCACCTAAGGTACCCTCATCACCTCTTCCTGATACATCTTCTTCCAGCAGTGAAAGTGATAATGAGGGTGAAAGTGGCAAAACAAAAAGACAGAAAGGGGGGATTGAAAAGCAAATAATCAAAAATACAGAATTACTTACAAAATCTGAAATCCCACCTGTAACTGTTTCTCCTAGTTTGAAAGGTCGCAATGACAGCTTTGGCACAGTGGAGTTAAAAGAGAGACAGGAAAGACAAATACAAAGGGATGCATCCTCGAGCAGCAACAGTGAGAATGATACTACTGACCACCCTGTTCTCGACCTGAGTCGTGGTATTCCACGGGTTAAAAAGCGTCTGAATGTCATTGCACCATTACCAGAGCCAGGAAATTCTTCATCTTCCAGCAGCAGCAGTGATACTGAGACAAAAGGACATTCTGTAAAACAAAGCAGACCGGTATTGACTACTCCTCAATACAGAGATACAGACACTCTGATCACTTACAAGCGGTCCATTTTCCAAACTACATCACCAACAAGCAGCCCCCCCTCCTTCAATGACCTAAGTTTCTATGATACAAAACAAAGATACTCTGAAATCACGCACCAAAGTCCACCTCATGGTTCAAAAGACAGCAAACCATCTATTGCCACAAAGAAATTTCCAAGCTTTGATGATATGATAAAAAAGATGGTTGGCCAATCCAAGCGCACAACAGAACTGCCGCCAGAGCTAAAGTGGACTGGCGTTGGTCGCCAGATGCCTGACATGCCCAACTTAAGCCCAGAGAGTCGTTTGGGTGTAGGGTATTCACGTCCGCCTGCAGAGCCAGAACTCCCCCCGCCTGACTCATCCAGCTCCTCCAGCAGTGAAAGTGATGATGAAATAAAACAAGACAGAGTGAATCCAGATGTGACACTAACACATGAATACTCATCACTTAGCGGTGTTACTGTTTCCTCTGCTTCTGCCAGAACCCTTACCACTGATGACAACTCATCCATCAGAACAGATGAGATTTGGAAGGGTATATCTGAGGAGAAGAGGGAAAGAAAAGGCCTCAGCGCCCTAAAAGCCATGTCTTCACTGAGACACCAGTGGGATACAACAGATGGGCAATTTGACAACAGCACCTCTGTGTTTGATGACTTTGGTCCATCAGTCAAGACCAATTTGAGCTATTCAAGGTCTGAGGAACCCATAAGGCCCTTGGCCACACAATCACTCAGACAAGTACCGCTATATCTTTCCTCTGCCTCAGTTGATGAAAGAAAAGCTACAGGTGTTTCATATGAGATTCCCAGCTACAGAAGGCATGACTTTGGTGATATGGTGCCACCACAAGAGACTCCACCTCCCATTCCAACAACACCACCACCATCAGATGAGGCATTGGGGCTTACATGGAGGTCACGGCAAAACAGCTGGAAACAAAGGTCTGAAGGAACCAGATACTATGTGACACAGAGCGGATACACAACAGGAACTAACTCTACATCACTTACATCTGAAAACCTGAAAGACTTATTGGATAGCTCAAAAAGTCCCATAACTGAAGTCTGATAAAGATGCTGCTACATTTCAGACATTGAAAATACAGGTAAATAAGGGACAGTTTTTGAGCTCAGTAGGGGGAGAAATATGTGAAATATACTCTCCAAGTACAAAGCTTTAAAATTGTATGTAAATACTCATAATTTATTGTGAAGCATTTTGCAGAGAGCAAAAGACAGCATTATCTTTGAACTATTCTACTCTTATAACCCTTTTTCTAAAAGAGCATTATAAAGGTGTCTCCTTGTTAATCAATGGTATCATTGATTAGCAATGCAATCTAATCACTGTATGAAACAATTATATTTAAAATACATCTGTACAAAAGTGAAGAAGTTTTGCAGCAAGAATTGCATAGATTCAAGGACAGCTATTTGAGGTACTTAAAAGACACTGTGATCAAAAAGCCCACACTTGAGCCAATAAGTTAATAAACCCTTTTATTTATGTATATAGACATAGGTTATAGTGAAAACAGACATATAGACACTTACATTGTTTACATACATATATACAGTTGGGACGAGGTTGTTCATCCTCCTGCATTGTTGTGGGAGAATACTAAAACACTGATCTCTACACAGTATTTGGTAAGCAGTCCACATCTACTTCAATCCTGGATGTTCTGCTAATGGTTGAGGCATTGTAATGACAACAGAGGCTTTCATATGGCTGCAGCTGCAGTGAATTCTAATGGTATGAGAGTGGATGTATTTTATTTTCACAACAAATTCCAATGAGTATTTTGCATGTATTATGACAGTGTGATGCAACAGTCCCAAAACAAATGATGTACTTCTCATAAATAAAATAAGATTCTGTATTCTCGCTGCGGCGTCACAGTTTATGTGTGAGAATGTATGAATGGGATAAATGCAGGAGGGAACTCCTGTTCCACCGAGAGGTTACAGGTGTGTGTTCCGGGTCTTAATAGCACAATCATGTTGTTTATCAGAATTAAGCGAACATGATTGTGACTATTAAATTAAGCACAAAACAGTTGCACAAGTTTCTGTACAAAACAAAAAATGTGTTTGGAAAATGTTTTCAAAAATCTCATCCATTCACAAAAGGCTCTGTTGGAGCGTGCATGCAAATATTAAATCTGACAATTCAGCATCACACCACAGCCAAAGACAAAAATTTATACATGTTGTTACAAGAACATTATACTAGGCGAAAAGAACAGCATAGCATCTTCACACAGCTCCAAACTGTCAGTGTCCGTTGATTTGTGTAGATTCTATGGGTGGTTCAACGCAATGCTTTCAGCAAACCTACCTTTCTACTCAAGCCTTAAGGACCTCGTCCTGAGAGGGTCACTGGTCTTCAAATGTCGTAATTAACACTGTCAGTGTTGGGAGAGATGCTACAGTAAGAGGAGACCAGAAACTAACAGTGGACTAAGGACAAAACTGATGCAATGCATCGAGACAAAATGAACACCAGCTAGTTCTATGTCAACTCATAACACAGCCCAAACAGTCTGAATTCATCCTGAAATATTCCCTGACCACTCAGTGTGTCTGTGTCAGTGTGTGGATGAATGTGTGTGTGCATGTGTGTGTGCAGTATGTGTTTTTACACGTGTATATACATTTGGGTTTTTTTAGGTGTGTGTGAGTGTGTGTGTGTGTGTATGTGTGTGTGCTGGACACACAAAAGGACTTCCATGTTTTGAGGCACAGTAATACTCTTACCTACAACGTAGAAACATTGATTGGTCATCAGACCAATAAATGCTGTAATGGGCACTAGTGGCTCACCGCTGTACTGTAATAAGAGTTAGTAAGCAGCAATGCAGAATTGTTTGGTGTTATGAGGTCTGAGGCCTTTGCAGGGTGGGCTTGCAAACTGTTAGCATTAGCAGGAAACGAAACAGCAGGAGGGAACAAAAACTGGAGGGAAAAAAAAAATCACTGGCACAAATTAAATCGTAAACAGAACAGGCATTAGGAACCTGCATTCAACCGTTTGACACAGTGTGCTTCTTGGAGAACTCTTAACTCAAAACATGACAAAGAAAGTTAGTGCCATCTGTCCAGAAAAGCTCAAGTTCAAGTTCACAGCACGGATATCTAACAGTGTGCCCTGGTCAAAGTGACCCTGTTTAAGACTCAGACACAAAGCATGAATGGTCATGTCTGTTGGTTTCTCTGTGCTGAAGATAAGGACTGAGGAGTGGATCTCCCACATAATACCATTCTGCTCCTTTCATCCATGTATGACACCATGTTATCCTAACACAGACAGCAATATGACATGTCACAGTGAGAGAGAGCAATGCCGCCGGGGATTGCTGCAAGCTTGCCCACTATGCAACTTCAGTAGGGGACATTTCTCCACAATGGCAGCCCTCTGCCTCCGTGTGCTGGGCAGCTAGCTCTCAGGCTGCAAACCCAGCGCACCCCACCCTGACCCACCCACAACCTGAACCCCCTCCTCCACCAGGAAGCACCCACAGTCACTGCTTTATCAGTTTTGTATTGTTTACTTATTGGTTGTTGTTTCTCATAGTCGTCATCACAGTTGTATTTTTCCTCTTCGCTCTGCACCTATGACATCTGCCTTTCCTTGTACCATTCCACAAACTCGTCCAACAAAACTGGCCCTGAAGGAAAGAGACAGAGAGTCAGAGATTCCACATTCACAGAAACATCGGTCATCACATCTGTGTCCTTATGCGTGTACTTACAGGCACCGTCCTCATCGTAGTTACTGAGGTCAAGGTTGATTGTCCTGCTGAACTCTAAGACATTGCACCATTGGTCTTTGTTGATGACTTTGTACTTGGATTGCTGAGGAAGACATACAAAAGTTAGTTGAGCAGTTACACTCAGATCACCATTACATCATACCATCATGTGGCGTCCAATCAATCAGATTGTGCTGTAGGCAGGGAATTACGTGTTACAAACTGATACCGATCCAGAGGAGGAAAACACATCTGCTACAGAGCCACTGTAGGGCACTTTCAATGAATTTTGTTATTTTATTGGTTACCTGTCAAATACAGATAATTCAATACCTAATATTGGGCTGATATTTGCTCTAAATTGCTCAATATTGGCAGGGTTTTTATTTTTTATTGTAAAGGCAAAGACAGTTACAAGTGCCAAGACCTTAAGTACTGAGAGTGCAACAAAAGAACAGGCGAGGTGGCAAAAAATGTCATCCAAATCATTCAATCAATCAATATACTATATAGTATACATACACTTATATATACATATATTTATATACAGTACAGGCCAAAAGTTTGGACACACCTTCTCATTCAATGTCTTTTCTTTATTTTTTTTATATGACTGTTTACATTGTAGATTATCACTGTAGGCATCACAGCTATGAATGAACACATGTAGAATTTTGTGCTTCTAAAAAAAAAGTGTGAAATAACTGAAAACATGTTTTATATTCTAGTTTCTTTAAATTAGCCACCCTTTGCTCTTGATGACAGAGGTACTTAGTAACCCTGACAAGGCACACCTGTGAAGTAAAACCATTCCAGGTGACTACCTCATGAAGCTCATTGAGAGAACAGCAAAAGTTTGAAGCGCTATCAGAAAAGCAAAGGGTGGCTACTTTGAGGAATCTAAAATATAAAACATGTTTTCAGTTATTTCACACTTTTTTCTTAGGCACATGATTCCACATGTGTTCATTCATAAATTTGATGCCTTCACTGAGAATCTACAATTTAAATAGCAATGAGAATAAAGAAAATGCATTGAATGAGAAGGTGTGTCCAAACTTTTGGCCTGTACTGTGTGTGTGTGTGTGTGTGTGTGTGTGTGTGTGTGTGTGTGTGTGTGTGTGTGTGTGTGTGTGTGTGTGTGTGTGCGTGCGTATGTGTGCCTAGGTGTGTACCTACTCTCAGTTCACAGCACTTTCAGGCTTTTGTTCATTATAGAAACACAACACTGTTCATCTCAGTCTCATAGTTTTCATATCTGATCAAAAACTCTTCACAAGAGCTTTGATGAAGTACATTTTACCAAAAGTACACTTCTAATGTTTTCATAGACATCACACCCTCCATTATAATTTTACCTCACTAACACAGCAAACCGAGCCTGTTTTTCTCCTGAGTGCGGCTAACTTTGATTGATTGATAATGATACCATCATACGAGTCACTACTAATACAGGAAACACGAGTGGAAGATTTGTTTTCAAAGCTCCTCTGCAGAGTTTTTTGGGCTGAAATTCACATAAAGATCTCTGCCCTCTGTCTGCCTTGCTGCCTTGTGCCAGAGCTGGGCTCACACTTTCATCCCACCATCTCTCCTTCTTCCACCTGCAGTCTCTGACCATGGGGGGTGTTTCAGATATCATTTCATCACTACAAGTTAATCTGCTAAGAGTGATGAGGTTTGGAGCCTGGACACCAAATACAACAGTCTGCTGCTGAAATTAAGTTTAGATCAATACGACATGAGCTGACTGATTGAGCTAAAAATAGTGAGGACGATTATATTCTATCTACAGCTGCACGTCTGTGAGTTTACTGAGCTGACCTTGAAGCCATCATAATGTCCTCTTTTGTCGTCATTTAGTTCGTGGCAGATGATCAACTGAGTTTTGTCAGTCTCCCAACACTTGCAGGTACTACAAATTGGTATAATTTAATGCTCAATGCTGATGTGCTCTGCTGAGGAGGCAGGGACAAATTATTTTGCAACATAAATTGCATTTTGCCTCCACTTTATCTTTTGCTTTGGTGAAATGTAACCAAACTTTAGACCTCTTACATGTTCAGCCATCCATGCAAGCAAGTATGTAACCATCAGAATTCATTTGTTTAGTTCACTTGTTCATTTGTACCTTTGGGCTGCAATTTACTTGAATTAAAAAACTATTTTAGACAATAGATGCGTGTTTGTGCTCCAGGGAATTGATTTAACTGATGTCGCTCAAGTCAAACTTTAGTCCAGCCGAACAGAACCCACAAGAACTAACCCTACACTGAGGTGGCGTAAAACCTGCTTGTCTCTTAGGATAATGGTGAACAACCCCCCCCCCCCCCCCCTCTTTTTTTTTAAATCTAAATTACGCTAAACCTGAGTTAAATACAACAGCCGAATGGAAACAATGAGATCTTTTTAAAATAGTGCTCACCTCTAGAAACTGATTAAACACGGGAAACAGAGGCCACGTCTTTCCCAGAAGAAGCCCCAGCATGCACTTGGCTGTGTTCAAGTCCAGACTCCTCTGATCCTTTTCCTGTCCAATCAAAACACCAAAAGCTTGATGACAACAAAAGGAAAACAGTTGACCACTCTTCTAAAACCTCTCATTAGATTCAATACACAGAACAGGCTGAAGGCTATAGTTCAACACTGCTGCTGTAAAAACAGTGTTTCACTGTTATCAGTCCCCCTGTGCATGTCTTTATTCATTATTTATATTTTCGGATTGTGCTGCTTTGTGTGACATTAGGGCAGAGTTTCTATGTTACAGGAATGTCAGGCTATGCAAACATCCTGCTCAAAATCAAACTAGAATGCTTCTCTGACTCACTCGAAACATCAAGATTAATCTGAATTTTTGTTTAAATAAAACACTACAACGATTCCAGTCACGCAGGCTTGACATTTCTCTATTTAAATAAACTGAATAAGTTGTGTTTTAGAAATGTAGAGGTGTTTTTGGCAGGAAACACTTTGCTTGACTCACCCGAGCGAAATCAAAGGCGTATCTATAAATGAGCTTAAAACTGGTGCTGTCATTTAGGACAGATCTCAGGTAGTCGAGAGAGTTCCTCAGCCTCTCTGTGGAGTCACACCTGAAACCAACAACAGAGAAGTGCTTTAGAAATACTTACACAGAAAAAAGCTGCAAAGAAAGGATTCATGCTGAGAACAGGATGAAAGAGTCTCTAATTGATAAAGTGACATACTGCAGTGAGCCCATGCCTCTCAGCCACTCCTGGAGGGTAAAATAGCCCATACTCTGAGCATCCAGCTTCCAGGCAAGAACCAGCATCACCACCTGAGCAAAAACAACAACCTTTACACCTGCAGGCAACACCAGTACGGGAAATACAAGACATTTAAATATTTAGTCTCATGCCTTCTCAATGACATCTGCCCTGATTTACATGTGAAATACACTAAATTGAATACATCTTTGGGACATGCAGAGAGTGCATTTGGAATAGTAAGCTTAGTTGGGTTTGAAGCAACACCTTTTCCTGAATGTTATTGGGCTGCTCTGCACTTTCAACCAATCAGCCATAGTTTTGCAAAATTCTGCAGGTGGAACAAGGGATAGACGAATTCATTAGCATACCCATTACCGGCATGTCAACAAAAGCAGTATCATCCCAGCATTGGCACTTATAAGGCCGATATCAGCATTAACTTTCTAAGTGAAAGCGCATTTTTACAAGGCATCACTGAGGGAATTGTGTCATATAAAGGAGGCTAAGGGAAACTTTAGTTATGTGAGACTTACTCTGACATGTCTGTCTGCTCTAGATGCCGTTACAGGCTAAAGGTAAACTACACCAAACAGTCTCTGGAGTCTTGATCATTTTTTTAAATGCCAAAAGCCAAAGGTGGAGGAAACAGCTCTAAGGAAGAACAATATTTAAATGAAAGAGGTTTTGATTTAATATCAGGGATGCATTGACCTTAACAAGTGAATTAATCTACCAAAACGTTATTAACATTTGTTGAGATTCTCTTTAAAACATAACACAAATCAGTCTTGGCAATTGTAAGGATCCAGTCTTGACATTTCATGTATAAAATGTGCTCACAGCTTGTTTAAGTTAGCGCTAGCTGCAGAAAACTGTAAATGGATGGAGCCAGCATTGCTAATGATTCATGGCTCTCTGCTGGTTTACAAGTATGGATGTCACTCTACTGAGTTTGATGTGTGAATGCGCTTTCAATTTGGAAATTTGCATTTAATGCTACCTGATTTAAAATCCAAGTTCAGAACAAATACACGCCAAAATATGGGTTTAATTAATACTCTTCTCATGTTAAAAAAAATAACTGTGTAGGTCACTCTATGTCGACAACAACAAATGGTAATATCATATAATAAATCATTACATGAGTTAATAGAGTTTCGTTGTTTCTTGACATGTTGATGATAATCATGTTGGCAAGCAGGCAAGACAGGCACTTCATTTTACCCGAGTCTACACATCAGATGCTCACATGCATTTTCCAGATTGGAAATAAATTTTTCCAATGTGTACGACACCACATGAAAGCAGGGTAAGGTACATGTTCAAGTGTTTGTTGGGGTGTGGCTTTGGCCTTTTTTCACTGACTGCTTTTGAAAATGTAGCCTCATCTTGCTTCCCCGCCCCCTAAAGTTACCTATCACTGCTTTAAAGAGAAGATTTGTTGACAAAATTATCAACAAAAAGACCAGTTTTATCTGTGTATAAAACATGTTGTACACAGAAAAAACTGACCTTGATAACCCTTTGAACAAAGAGCAAGTTTAAACTAGGGGTGATCTTGGAAAGCTACGAGTTTAACTTCATACTGAAATTACTGAAAATGCACATTAGGGCCAAAACAACGTCTTTGGTTTGACTGACTACCAGGAGGGTAATGTGGAGTTAAAGCCAAGCACTCTGAGACCATACAGGTAAAACAAAAGTCTGCTTACGTTCTCCGGCTCCACCCCGATGTCCTCACAGAACTTCTCCATGCCCTCTGGACCCACCACTTCATCACAACCTATTTCAAACAAACACGGTGTGAGGCCACATGTGGAGCCACTGCAGTGACATGATTACAACCAAAAACATCTAGTTTTGATAGCATCAAATAGCATTATTATGTTCATAACATAATAATTAACCACCTGCATATTCATAGAACCACTCCAAGCATCTTTTACTGGAAAACGTGTCCTCTTCCCGGATTTGTGATGTTTCATGTTTCCTGAAAACACTGCAGACAGAGAAAGAGGTTTCAGTCTTAAGCTCAGTCACAGCAGAAAAACAAAAGCTTTCTAAATTATAATTTTCATGATCACAAAATAAAGACTCCATGCATGTAAGGCTGGGAAACACAAATTAATGCACAATACGATATCTTATAAATGACCCATCTTAATAATGACAACACAACACAACAGTTCTGCCATATCTGGTAAATTGCATGACCATCATATGGCAATATCTCAGGTTATCTCAAGAATACAAAATGAAAAATGACTCTAGATGATAATGTGCAAAACTTACACCACTAACAACACTAAACGTTTTTTCTGCATAGCTTATTTCTCAAACACTGTGCTTTTTGTACAGAGCTGTATTTCTACATATTCACTACTTTATTCTTAACCATTTTATCGTATTTTTTCTCATATTACTCTTATTTCTATAAATATTCCTGTATTCTTATTGTTATACTGTAAAAAAATGCAACAGTAAAAACTGAATTTCCTCCTGGGGTCAATTGGGTATAATGGGGTCTGGTTCTATGAGTGCCACCATAGAGAGTCATCAAATAGTGGCACAGTGAGCCAAACTAAAAAGGAAGTACATTTAAGGAGTCATATTTTTTTCGATTACAAGATGGGACAGCTATGGGATAGTTTCATCGAACAACTCAGGACAAAATTAAAACACTTTCCACGTATTTCATCACATCACCATTGTGGACACTTTCCTTCAGATAGAATATATTGTAAAGCAATGCAGATGAATGTTTAACAAAGAAATGTCAAACCTGTCTTGGCGACTTTTTTTGGCTGACATGTCATCTCCAGCAGAGGGTCTCCTCTTTTTCCTAGGAGGCATGGCTCTGGAGCAACAAGCTAGGGGTTGGGGGGAGATCATAGTGAAAAGGGAGGTACCAACGTATAGATACCACATGCATATTTTCTCCTACTTAAAATGCATGTGTTTAAACAGCCTGATTTGGGTGTAGTTTCATCCATGATTGATGATTAACTCTGATGTCATACAGGAAACACACTTGAATCATCTTTGCAAAACTGAATAAATGTTGTGTGTTTTTTTTGTCAACTATGAAACACACAAAAACCAGTTAAACTGTTACCTGAAGAGTGGCTATCCTGCCCAACGTCTTCTGTCAGGTTCTGTCAAAACAAGCACGCACAAATACCAAATGACTGTGAGCAGTATAGGCATGTGCAGCACTCCCACACAGACATACATAAAAGTTACAAATGTAAAATTTAACAGATGCACAATATTGTTTGCATTGTGACTGCATCAGCAGGTTGAGACTTTAAAGTTCATTACTGCTTAGGCAGAAAAGTTTTGGAGGGTATATACAACCTATAAAGTGATGCATTAATTGTGCACAAGTGGTGTGATCACAGCTTAAATCCACCAAACATAAACTTCAACATGTTAACATTTTAAGTTTTGCAAATGTGTAGCACTTAAGCTATTTACAATGCAAGTAATGTGGACTGGAGCAAAACAACACCAACAGTTCCTGAAAAGTAAAAATGAAAGCCGGGTATTAGAGAGACTGCATATCCTTTACAATGCACAAAAGCTGTATGTATTTATTGGTATGGGGATCGATATCGGCCGAAATGAGTTTAAAAGTATTGTTATCGGTACAATCAATATTGTGCACCCCTATGAAATGCATACTGCTTGCTCGTATTTACCAGCCTGTGCAAGGTGTGGTGGATCTTATGGATGCTGGCCAGTGTAGTCAAGTGGGAATTCAGCTGAAAATCTATTTTAACAGAAAAAAGAAAGAGATATCATCAGAGATTCAACACAGCAACAAAGCATGACACACAAACCTCCTGCACCAACTCACACTTGTAAGCTTGCTAGGAGTGCAAGGGTACGAGAAGGTGACATCATCTTAGCACAAAGAAGAACACAGGGTTTCATATTATATCTGAAATCTGCACACCTCTATAGAGCTTAAATACTCCCATTTGATTATTAGTCTGAGGTTTTACGTTTCAGAGACGGACAGAAAATATCTGACACGACTCAGGGAGTGACTCTCTGCATTCTTTCAAACACACGCTAACTCAGAAATATGCTATCATGCATGCTACCTTGTCGACAGATGTCATCTATACATTCTCCTTCAGCAGCTGTCATCAAAAACCGACGCTTTTAATTGATTTCAAGAGGCCAAAACCAGACGGAAAACAGCCGAGCTGATAGCACTAGCTGCATACCTAAAATAGCAGTGCAGACGCGCAACTTGCACAGAGTTTACAAAGTATCTAGAGAGTTCGCCGTATGGGTGTTGTAGTCCATTTCCTCTTAAGAGGCCGTTTAAACGTCAGCGCTGACAGGGATTATAAACTACAATACCCAAGCTGGTACAAAACAACTCTTTCTTTCAGACCCTTCTACCCCCAACATTTACCCCAACTGACTGAATGCATTTTGCGTCGTTTTATATAAATCTTACTTCTTGAGCTAACTGGCACGTTAGCACGACGCAGACGTTTTGCAACAGCTGTTGTTGATGCCGCAAGGCCGGACAGCGCTGCAGCAGCAGGCAATGAAACATGTTTTACTCAACTGCGTCACAATTTTCTTTCTCTGTAATAGTCCGCAGATGACCAGAAAATTGACCTATTTACATTGCTCCCACGTTGATCCCAAGTTTGAGATAAAACGCACAAAAAATCCTCTGTTATGATGAATATAATGATCACAACGAACCGATTACCATCGAAAAGCTTCTCAATTCAATCAACCTCAGCTCTATGCAACTGGCAGGCGCTAACGATTCACATAAAATAACTTGGGAAAAGCAGCTGAGTCAAATCTAACCTCCCGCATGTCCACAACAACTGAATTTACACAAGCTATTCTTCCTTTGTTTTCGCCCAATACAGCAGTGCTTAATACAAAGAGCCCAGCAAACAGCACGGAATTCATTCGTCCTCACCAAACCCCAGAGAAAAGGGCGTAAAAGTACATTTACAATCACAAATTTCCTTTACGCTCCTTTAGGACCAGCTTAAGCATCCTTAAAGGGGCGCTATTTGATGAAGAAAAGCCTCTATAGCGTTACTACTTACTTGCCGCATCAGAGTGCATTTTTATGAAACATACAACTGTCTGTGGGAAGTCCGCAGACCGGCCAATAGGCGGGCCTTGTCAACGTAAACCCCGCCCCCAACGCATGATTGAACGTCAACTTCTTAGATCTCCGCCTGCGTCCGCTTATGATTGGCTGCTTGATATGTTATGTCAAGAGAAGGCAGGAGTAGAGCTTAACCCCACCCACTCATTTGTTTGATTGGTCAGATTTTCCAAACAGGCTGCGCTACTTCTGTGATTCATTGGTCGGGAGGATACCGTGAATACGTCACTCATCAGAATTTCCTCGTGCAAACCTGAAATCAGCCCACGATGGAATCTGATTGGTCAGATCGGCTATAAGTCGACCTCCCAGTGGTACCGCTGTTGAATTTGTTTGCAGTCAACTCAAGCGGGCGGGGATTCGTAGGTCTAGATTGGGTAATGTGAGTTGTATTTTGTGTTTTCGTGGTATGTATTTTATCGCCCGAAGTCCCTCGGTCCCTATAGTGAAACAATGATTAATATCATGTAATAATTTTAGCACCTACCTTCAGTTAACCAAGAGGAAATCCTATTTAACAGAATATAATTTTATTCATAGCATGAGCCCTCCTTTTATAATACCGGAATAAAGTAGACGTATAGGTCAAGCCCAAATAATGAAAATACATTTAAAAAGTATTTAAAATCTCTACGTTTTTTTCTCATAGGAGGAGATTTTAGAAAGCTTCATTATTTTGTTTGCTGACAAATTTTATAAAGATACCAATTTCTTTTTTTCCACTGAGACCAAGCACCTGCACACAAAGCCCACCTACAGGTGCATCCTAAAAATATAGAATATTGTGATAAAAAGATAGAAAACCTGTACTTTATGACAATAATCAAATGTTGTGTGATGCAAGTGTGCAAGTGAAGGAGGACTTCTGGTTGTTCTGACATTAATATAGTACAGAGTGGGCTAGTGCACTACCAAAAATGTGATACCTGTACCAGTTGTCGAATATTCTAGTCTGTGCACCTAAAAATATACCTGTCTGATCTGAAACTACTACTACTACTTATTAGACTTTACAACTCTTGTGTAAATTGTAGATAACTGTTAGAGACATATTTTGTGAGACAACAGACAAATGTCAAAAGAAGAAGAAGAAGAAGAAGGAGAAGAAGAAGAACTTTATTGATCGCCTAAGGGAAATTCAATTCAAAAGACACTACCACCACTTAAACCTAAAGAGGACAAGATAAGCAGAGACCGTTTTGTCCACAGGCAGTGCCAATATTAACACAAACTGAGAGGTATTCACAGGAACTTCAAGGTTGGACTGAACCCAAAGTCTGCAATTTAGCAACATTTTTACAGTGAAACATAAAAATTAGCCTTTAAAATGAATGTGTGTATTGAATGAAGAGGATCAGCTCACAGCAATATAGACATCTGTAAATTAAATATGCACTTTACTCGGATCAGACTGTATCAGTTTAGGTATTGGTACTAAGAGAGAAATGGTAGACAAAATCAATGATTTTTTTCTTTGTTTTTATCATTCATATCTATCTGAACAATTCTGTGATGCCCAAGAATCACAAAATTGAAACAAGTTCATTCTTAGTTTTATTACATAGTAAATTTTGTTAATTATACCATACTAGTTCTCTGTCAGTGACCACTTAACTATCAATTTTATGTCTGCATCCCTTTAATATGCTAAGAAAACAAAGAATCAAACTAATCCTTTCTTCCTAGGTGATTTAGTCTTAAAAAGTACTGAAAATTCAATGTTTCAATTTAAAATACTTGTTCCAGACAAATTACATCTACATCATCTATAAATGTGGTGTAAATGATTTCATTAGCATGGGAAAATGTAATTAATTTTCATCTTATGTCCTCTTTTTTCAGAATTTCTTTGCCAGTGACAAGACCCTCCTAATTCACAGTCTTATGTGAGAATCTCTGTTCGACAGCCTTTATGTATAAGAAAATAAGGAAAGATTTTAGGAAGTTGCGATTGAAGATCTTCTCTCTTCCAGTTAAAATGTCTTTTAAAGGCATTGAATGTATGCCAGTGTTAGCCATGGCTCTGGAATCTCTGCATTTATTACCAGGAGTAATAAATCATTCTCTGCTTAAACTTCTGATCACAATAAAACCGCTTGCTGACCTTTGGATGTAGATGTCTGAATAAGCAGTATATGTCAGTACTTTTTGCTCTTGCCAGAGTTAGATAGAATAAAAGACTTATCCTGGTATATTAGTGATAAAATGTCATAGGTTGAATGTATTTTAGTCAAAGTTTAAGTTTGAAAGGGTATAAGCAAAAAGCCTTTGACTTATGGCAAACTGTTAACTATAATTTCTGAAGGTTACATGACTAGAATTCACTGGTGCATGTACTGTAAACGATTTTTCCTCTAATATATATATTTTAAAAATGACGAAACCTAATGTAAACCTAACCTGAGGGTCCTGGTCCAGTTTTGACTAGTGGATATTTCAATTTTTGACAAGTAAACTTTCCTCCAAAGGGAAAAACAAAATCCATGTAAAGTTTAAACTTGCTTATTAAGTAACCATGTAAAAGGACGGCATTAGAAATGATAGGTGGCAGTGCATGAATGCAAAGTTTAGTTATCACAAACCTGTCTGAAAATTGTTATTGTGAAAGGTTAAATGGAAGAGATATTTGCACATGTAAATGAGGAATAATACCTGACCTCTACCCAGACTTACCTCTGCTGAATAAAGGCATAAAAGAACAGATACTTCTTTCAATATAGGTGTGTCCTGCTTGAGTGTGATAGGCGTGCAAAGGCAAGTGACATTGTGGGCCATTATCTAAAGTGAGCGATAGGAAACTTTTTGACTTTTGTGATTAACTTATAGGTTTTTAGCACTTCTACATACTATTTTATTGTATTATTTTATTTTCATATTCATTTTTATTATTTCATCGTTCTTGTATTATTCTATTCTATTGTATTATTTTATAATGGTATTTTTTCTTGTGTTATTTTATTGCTTTTATGTAAAGCACTTTGGGTACCATTTGGGATATTGTAAAGTGCTATATAAATAAAATTTGATTGATTGATTGATTGATTAAAATGCACATTTTTCCTTCCCTGTGTCATTGAAGCATCACTTTTTAATCCATATTTTGTTGTTTCATTTTCAAACAGACTGTGATGGATCTCTGCCTCTGATCCCTGCCTCTGTTTTTTTTAGAGGGGCGGAGCTACAACACAGGGAGGAGCAATTACAACCACTCATGCTTATATTTGACGCACAGAGGGGGAGGTCAACACAACCGAAAGCAGTGCAGTTCGGATCTGTGAGGGTTTACTTTAATCTTCTCCACCATGAGTTCTGAAGAAACTGTAACAGTGAAGACGGAGGAAGCAGCAGCTGTTGGTGGTGCACAAGCAGCTCCAGGGAACAGAGAGTGGAAGGTGAAATGAAGAAAATGATTTCAGCTGAGTGCTGTAAGTTTATTTTACTTCCTGACCTGTCTGTGTTGTCTTACAGTGTCCTATGGGGGACCGCCATGTACACAGAGATGACCTGAGGAAGGTTTGGAAAGAGTGCCAGGAAGAGAGCTTTTGGTACAGAGGTAATCTCTCCAATCATGCTGTGCTGTTGTTTTATCTATCGAGGAAACAGACAACCTACAAACCTGTCATGAACAACGCAGTCAGGCTGAGGCACGACTCATTTATCAGCAACCTTTTTAGTCGGAGCGGTGTGTTTACATTTTTCCTCGTGACCCCAAGACCACCACTGCATGTTAGATTGTCTTAAGGGAGACTGGCTTGTTCATGCTATAAGTAAATTTTCCCCTTTTTTGAAAGATTGTAGTTGTTGTGTGCAAAAGTGTTTGAATTCCAGTCAATCACTTCTTTGGATTGGGTAGGGCAAAGTAAGGAGTGTCAACACCTAACCTAAATGTGTTTAGGAGTCTACATAAACACAGCTTTTAAAAAATGACCTGCTCTAACACATGAAACATAACAAACAAGAGATTAGTGCGATGAAAGACGTGCACACCCACATAACCCAACTACAACTGTCAGACCAGAAATACTGAAGCAAAGTGAAAGATTCTCACAGCATGCAGCCAGACCAGACAGTTTTATCTCCACAGACAATATTTATATGTCAACACTATTTGTAACCTCTATCTATGTCCTCACACTCACTGCAACCATGCAGCAGCTGCATACGAGCATGCAGTTATCTAACCATGAAATGGCAACTATCAGTTTTTCCTGGATCAGAAGGCGGCGTCTTTGACTGAAACAAGGTGGTTGAATTGTTGAGTACTACCTCTACAGATCAGAGTTCAGTCAGATTACACACAGGGCAATAAATGTGGTAGCAATCAGACAGGGGAAGTGAGTCACAGCTGGCCAAGGAGCAGAGAAAGCCAGCTCACCAGCTAAAAGAATAACATCATATTTATAATTTAAAAAAAAGCAGAGAATCCACAGCTTCACTTAGAAATGGTTATCAGTATGAGATTTAAAATTTTGCCTGTTTTTTTTTGTTCTCAAACAGGGCATGTCCAGCCTTTTTTGCATGCGGTGGCCCATCTGGAGCACTGACTCATGCTGGTGTAGCATAAAATATGAACAATGGCTATCTACCATATCTGTCTTTATTATCAATTAATCATACTTAATGACTGAAGGTCAAATATGGTATGCATGTTACACCCACACATCTTTTCTAATTTCCACAGTATCTTAACAAGAAAGGTAACACACTTATTGAAAGACACACTTTTAATACCTTTTATGCCACATTAAAAGTAAGCTGTTTCTTATACACCAGTGCCACCAGTATTCCTCTTTGTTGTGCAAAGCATGCTGGATAAAAACTGAAGCAGACCAGTGCCACTTTTTAGTACTTTACTGCCTGTATTCAATCATTATCATGCATTAAAGGAAAAAAGCTTGTGAAGTTTTGGTTTGATTGAAAAGATTTCTCAATTTAAGTCAGCAAGTGACCTGTGAAAGTGGTTGGTACAAGTGTCTGTGATTAGGTTGCAGGCAGTAAGTCTGTCCATACTTCACAACTAGCAACACGACTGTAGGTTGTGCTCATCAGCTGCATGGACATGCAGATTGTGATAAACGGAACTTAGAAGAGTTATGCATCTAAATAAAAAGTACATTTTGCTGAACACAATGGATGTGTGTTCAGTGGCACACAGTTTTCCTCTCTGGCAGGCCCTCACAAGACTGGGTCCAAGATACCAGTGTGACTTTTACTCCAGATTTTACAGTCAATCTTTTGAAATGAAAGTGAAATATTGTGAATGGTAAGCGATTGTCAGCAGTCAGATCCTAGCTTAAAATGCTTCCTGTAGAGTGGTGGTGGCCTTGAAGAACAAGAAACTCCACCATGCATAGTGTGTATGATTCCCATTTGTGAAGTGCCTATCAATGCCTATTCTTTTGCTCACAACAACTACAATCTTCTCAACCTCCCGGCCCTTGAATTTTGTGCAGCTAACTCGGAAATACTTAGGAAATATGTTACTAGTTTGTCCATTTGATGCTAAGGTAAAAGCATGTTGGTGTATGATAGCTGCCTCCATGAAAAGAGACATGCTCCTTACACAGATACAAAAGGCTCTAATTTAACAAAAAGCAGTTTATATATTAATGCAGTGATGCACTGATCCAAACCTACTTGTGCAAAATATTGCTCACTTTATTCTTGCTGATATCACAGAAATTCCTGGCTCATTAAAAGAACAAAAGAAACAGTTTTAGGTCTGAAGGCCTTCGTGTCCCTATTTTTATTTATTTTGATGAAAAAACCTTCTATCCCATCTTTCTTCTGAAAATTGTAACTCTTTTTTATCTGTTGCAGCAGGAGTTTATGAGTTCAGGCTGTTGTTTTATATTCTACATTATTTCTTTTTTTTTCTAGCTCTTCCTCTCTCTGTTGGTAGCATGAGTGTGACCGGTGGTCTCATCTACAAAGGTAAAACACCAGCTCTTAAACTCTTGTCATTGTCATTATGACTTATGCAAAGCAGTAATATTTATCCTGTGCAATCGCACTTTAACTTTATCTGTTAATGCAGGTATTTGGAAATCATCAAAAACTCTTGGTCCCTTCCCAAAACTAGCAGGTGTGTACCGAACAGGATACAAAAATCTTAAAACAACTGAACAGTCAGTCTGTAGCCACTGATCCTGAACCATGATTGTTTTCTTTCAGTTGCTGGGATCCTCGGTTACGCAGTGGGGAAAGCATCTTACATGAGAACTTGTCGGAGCAAGTTTCAGGAGCTCGGCATCAAGGATGGACCTGGATTTGGGCCCTGGTCTGAGGGGGGACCAGGCGGTCGTGGTGGACCTTGGAGATCTGGTCCTGGACACAGGCAAGAAATTGATTCAATTCAAATAGATACATTGATTAAACTCTAGCATATTTTATCGTTCTTTTTAAAAAATCTATATTGTAGACACTTGATCATGTGTTAAGAGAACAAGTCACTTTTTTAATGTCAAAATCCCCAACAAAAGAAAAGTGTCTTTATTAAAACCTGAGACATTATTCCTTCCTTTACTGTTACTTACCTCAGGTACAAGAACTCAATAAAAAATCTGTCAGTTTCTGTTAGGATAAATTTCAGACCAATATTATCAGCTCCAGTAATTGTGTCTCATGCCCATTTGAGTCTGTATTAGGTAGGGATAATTTATAACACCAGTCCCTTCATAATTGGCTTTCATAGTTTTGTGGTTGAGTCACCAAACCTGGTCTAAAGTCCTTAGGTTTGAAGTCTGAGTCACCAAAGAGGAATCGCAGTCAAGTCCGAGTTCAGTCACCATCCCCTGAGTCAGAGTCAAACTGGGTTCTCATCATCATTATTATTTATTGCAAAGAATGTTTGACCCCAAATCCTTCAGGATAAAAGCTTAGACTGACTGTGTGGGACTACTTGGACTAACAAAAAACACATTTCATTCATCACCTTTAGATTCTGCCTGATCCTGCAGAGTGTCTGAGTATTGAAGTTATCAGTGAAGTTACAGTGTTGTGCATCATGCATACATGAGCATCACCCTCTAAATGGGAGATAGCTCATCAATCTTTGTTCATTTTCTTATATTAAGTATTCACAGTTTTAGAAACTTAACCATCTCTCTGAGCATTTTGGACTGATATCTGTTCACTTTGGAGTTTGTCTCCATTTCTTCCTCTTTTAAATTAGGAGATATGTTGCACTCCTCATGCTGTTAGATTTTTAAAAGAAAAACTCAAAGCTCCTGGTGTGGCTTCAGGCATACTGGAAGGAATTGTTGCCAAACAAGACAACACTTGTGCCAAACTGAAAAGATAATCTGGGCCAAAAAAGAGACATAAAACAGTCTTTGTCAATGTAACCTTCAAAGTCCCCCCACCAGTCTGTAAAGACTGAGAGGGGGACTCTGAAATTTAGATTGACAGTCAGTCATTGCACAAGTCCAAGTCCAAGTCACTGCTGAATCACCCCCTATAAGGCTTTTTTTTAAATCAAAAGGGCCTTCTTGTAAATTTTAACATTTTACTCATGATGCTTTATTTGTTCATTGTATTTATTGTGTCTTCTATCCAGCCCCTGTTTTAATTGCTTTGAGTATTTGCTTTTTTATCATTTTATCCAGCTCTTGTCTCAATTTGTCATCTTTTTAATTGGTATGTCTTGCTACTTTGGTTTTGATGAGTGCTATATAAATACAGGGTGAAACTTAGGTTTAGATCGGGCCATGACTTTTGAAGGAAACGATTCATAAACACATACTCTGCACAACCCTTAAAAGAAGGATAAAACTTGTGCTTTTTTTTTTTCAAGTGTTAAATTTTGTTATTTAGTCCAAAATACTGCTAACATGGTGATACTTACTTGAATAATTTTTTGATAACTTTATTTTGATAAGACTCTATAAAATAAGGAAAAATTACCTCTTTTGAGTACTGATGTAATGAAATATCAATGATATATATATCAGTGTATATATAAAAATATCAACGATAATGTTCCAAACTTTAAAGGCTTTGTTGTAATGGAGTAGTAGTTGATTTATGATGGAGGCTAATCATAGATGCCTAAGATAAAAAAAAAAGTATGCTTATGTGAAGCGATAGCAGACAATGTCACATTTGTGCTTCAACATTTTTTATTAGACAAATCAAAATAATACATTTAAGATAATAATAAATTTAAGATAAATTTGCGATAACAGTGAGCCTCTGCGTGTCATTAACCAGTATTTTATCCCAACAGATCCTGCCATCATGTGTGTGAGGAGTGCAAGAAAAAAGTTGAAGCTGCACCTGCACCTGCACCTGCACCTGCAGAAAAAATCTAAAGGTAAATGAATTTTATCTTCACAAAAACATAGTGTGCACAACCTTGAAGCGACTCAAAACAATAATAGCATCATCTGGCTAAATTGTTGAGGTCTCCTAGGACTTAAACATGCAAAAAGTGATTGTTGATGACACCTGCTGCTTGTTAATGCACAACTCTGCACGCTAAAATTCCCTAAAGCACTGTTTGTTTTATATTTCAGTGAAGACTGACTCTCCTTCTGGATTCATCAATGCAGCTTTACTTTTTCTTAAATGTCATAATTTTGCATATGGAGTGCCTAAAGTATCAGTCTGATACTGCATATGATCATTTTTTGCCTTTTGGTTTAAAATAGTTCCCATTTCTGACACTAGGGGGTACTGCTTACCCACACTGTCATGTATTCGTGTTGTGTTTTTCCACTTTGAACAAGCACAACTGCAGAAAAATAAAAACTGCACTGGTTATGATATAAACATTTATTTTTAAAGAATTGTGTGGTTATTTTATAATTGAGTTTGTGTTTGCTGCTTCTTGGAATAAATGGCTGATCTGAAAATACAGAATATGGTTATTATTTGATACACTGTGAGTGATTTACACTTTCCTTGAATTTGTCGTGTAACACCCTTATTTATGGGTTTATTTAGAAAAAGATTCCCTATCTGATTGCATAACTAGTTAAATTAAATTTACTTTATTATCATATCCCTTTTATCTACCAAGTTCCTTACTCATAATTTTGCAATACTGACAGCTGTCTGCAGTAAATTGAAAACCATTGCTCTGGAAGTGACAGTTCATTAAGGCACGTGCAAAAAATATAACACAACAATCACTTAAGTGAATTGGTCTAAAAAATAAAAAATAAACTATTTATGATCAATTGTAGAAGTTCAGTGTAACTGAATTTATCTGTATGCCACATGTCTTAAGGGTGTAAAATGTTGTTTTTTAAGAGGAGTCTTAAAGTAGTGTGTCAGACTTCAATTTGAATGCTAGTCAGGGTCACTGGAGTTACTAACCCATGCATGTAAAGCCACTTCTCTTTTGAGTCAATAATTTTGTAATATTAAGTCATTATTTAAAAGAGTTCATTTTAAGATCACTAATAAATTTTTCATATTCCTGTGTTAAGATTTTACATTACATACATTATGACAGGTTTGTAACATTAATTTTTATAAGGTCAAATCGGGCTCATTATTTATAGATGAAAAAAAATCAAATACCTTGGTGAACTTGAAAATATGTATTTGAAAACATGCAATAAAAATGCAATTGTATTATTCTGCAATCCATTTTTTTCTAAGGTAATGGAAACTATAAACATCTATTGTCTTACTCTGGAGTAGACAATGGATGTACATGGAGTCACCTAAAGGGAATCAGAGATAATTTCAAGACAGGGAAAGAGTAAAGTAAGAAAGAAAGAAAGAAAGAAAGAAAGAAAAAGATATTTCAAAAAATTATAATTGGTAACAATAAGCAAATCTAAGTCAGTATTGGAAGGACCTTGACAGGCAATGGCCAATAACCCCGTCCAAGGACATTTTTTAATATTTAACCCATTTAGTCCATACTGTAGCAAAGGCGCCCCTTCACCTCTGTAAATATTTTTTGGGGGAAAAAAATGAAAAAATAATAATGTATGGTTAGGTTTTATAGATACAACTTCTCTGAATCCTGAGGCAGCATTGGGTTTTAAAATTTAGCGTTTAACTGCAGCTTTAACAATTTTTTTCTCAAATATAAAAGTTTGTTTGAGCCAGGCGTGGTGCTCTAACAAAAATACCTTCTTAAAAACAACCTCAGCCACAAATTCCCACTGCAGCTCTACAAAGTACCCGCTTATCCCGGCAGGGTTCGGCGTACGCCGGCTGAAATTGAAATGCACCCATGTGGACGTCACCTTTAAAACGTCATCCAATCAACAGGTCGCTCTCAGAGGATTGCCACGTATCTTGTGAAATAGAAAGCTGTATTTCATATGGGCGTACACATCATAAGCCAATCACGTTGAAGGAGGCGGGACAACAGGCCACCGTCTGCTCTGACAGTGAAGCTCTCCCAACACCGAAACAGACCGAGAAAAAAAATCACACCACTACGCAAATCCTTCCAATGGAGGAGGGCCAGGACGTCTGCAAGCTAGCCACCTAGCTCAACTACAGGGAGAGGAAACAAAAGTTGTGAGTAAGGTCGCCTTATGAGTATGAAAGTATTTGAGATGACGGCAGTTGTTGCCTTCTGTAGTGAACGATGGCTCAGATCAAGTTCCGTGATGAACTTTGCCGTTCATGTTAGCTTTTCAACTCCAGCACCAAATCTGCCGTAGCATGCTAAAGAAGGAGTTTGGCTCCTGTGCTAGTGTTTGTTAATCGCCTAGCCAACCTTGCACAGTCTAGATTTATGTTGTTGTAAGTTTTGTCGTTAACTGTGTAACTAAAACTGCAATCATAAAAGACTCGTGAGGGTTTACTCACAGCTGACAACTAGCTGGTGGGCTAAGTCTGCTGAAGCTGCTAGCTAGCCTCCTGCTAAAGCAGTAGCAGTTAGCCCAATAAAAACACAAAGCTACATGCTAACCCAAAGCTACTTCCAGGGACGTGCATTAAGAGGTGGCCAGGGTGGGAATGGGCTCCTTTTTAAATCTAGGTACCTGAAGTTTCCCCTTCATACATCCTAAACTGTGATTGGCTATTTAACTTGTCAGGGGCGGGATTTATGTTAGAATAAAGTACTTGGACCATTGTAATAAACTGCTGGTAGTGTGGTTTTCACTTAAATATGGTGTATTTACTTTTATCAACACTTAAAATTGTATAATAATAATAGTTGAATTGGTCCAACAGAAACTGTGAACATAATGAATGTGTTTTAGACACATACGAATATGTAGAATAAGTGTATATTTTTACTTCAATACAGAAATATTATTGTCAACTTCAAAACAAGCCTTTTATAATTACACAGGGAGCAGGTATCGTGTCACAACGGTCAGCATCTTGCACAGAAAACGTTCGTCTTTAAAGGTCACCTTTGCTTAATCGATCGTGAGGTTTGCCGGTTAGTGTTTCAGTCTAGAAACTAACCTCAACGAATGACAAAATATTTCTATTTCTACACAATGTAACTTCAAAAACTTAAGGGAAGAAAATGTACATGTTGCCACACAGTTTTGTGCAAATGTTTAGTTGTGGTAATAAATAGTAGTGTTTATAGGACTGTCTGCATTGCTTTGCAGTTCTCAGTGCTAGTTGGCAGTGCAGTTTTCTGTTAGTGATATTGCCAGTTTCTGTTTTGCCACATTCTTCATTTGTTTGTTTGTGGTAGGAAACGATAGCAACTGATCAGAGTGTGTTATGTTAAAGTTGCAGTTTTTGCAAAGGAGGAAAGAGAAGAGATGTTGGAGAAGGTGAAATGTTTGGACGCTAAATATAAGTGCAGGAGAAAGGATGCTACTTTTCCTATCAGGGGGCTTGCTCTCTGCATTGGTTTAACACAAACAAACATTTTTTAGGAGGTGTATGTCAAGGTTTGTGCAGAAGCTCATGATCAGGTGCTGTTGTGGATGAAGTTGAACATGTGCAACACCCAAGTCCAAGTCATATTTCCCCAAGGGGACAACAAAGTGCATTGTATTGTATTGTATGATAACATATTTTTCAGTCATAGTTTCCTCATGGTAGTACAGACATATTTGTTGGGTACTGCAAACCAAAGTATTAAACTAACCACATAAAACAGTCAACTTTTAAATCTGTCTTTTATTTACTGCAGGTAACTGTGACACAGACCAACTTTATCTTGCACAGTGTTGAGAGAAAATTTGATATTTTTGAAATGACGTTTTATAAGCCCTAGTTGAGAACATGTAGAAGCTTGGTGGATTTCTGTATGGCCACAACAGAAGGAGAACTGTCAGCTTTTGCATCAAACATTCCTCTGAGGACTTCATTCTCCTTGTCCAGAGTGAATCAGACACACAATGAAGCGCTTGTTCGTTTTCAGTCGAGAAACCAGCAGTGGATACAGACAGAGAGGAATCTGGTCAGTCTGCTGTGTGGCTGGAGGTGGAGATGGCCAAACTATGTGAGAGTGACAGAAGAAAAGTGATTCTGTGTTCACTCACTCATGGGCCCACATGAGGGTGAACTATGCTCTGAGTAATGGGAGCTATGCTGTGCATATTTGCATGAAAAAGCTAGAGCAGCCTTATCAGGACAAGCTGGAACAAAGTTTAAACTTTGCTCATCCCTCAGTGTTTTTTGCTGCAGTATGTTCTGTCAAACTACCTCCTTATATCTTAGAATTTAACACACCAAACTTAGCAAAGTTGTTTCAGCCCCAGCCCCAGCCTGTTAGATCATCGGTCTTCACTCCTGGTTGATCCCCCTTCATCCCTGGCAGGATAAGCCTCTGGTGGCAGGACTGACATGAACTGTATTCTCTTGTACACGCTAAAACTAAAAGGAATCCCCCTGGATTGCAGATAGCCATGTATCTCTGATTATCTGGCGCATAATGCAAGTGAATTAGTATGTTTGGTTTAAGCTGGTAAGACATTAATGACATTGAAGCGCACAGGGATGAAAAACCATGCTCTGTACAACGCCCCCGCAGTGGCCCCTCACTAAGCTGCCCCCCTGCAAGGATTAACTGTTAACTCAGCATTTTAGTGGTGACTGCAAAATAAAATACAATGCAAAAATAACAACTCAATTTCAAAATGTGGGTTTTTCATTCAACAATCCTTTGAATCCAGTCAAAGCCTTGTTTTTGCGTCTCTTGGTATGTTGTCTGTAGTAACTGATTTTATGTTTTTAGATACATACCATCAGCAGTTTGCTTTCTGGCAGCTTAATGTCCTTTAACGTCTAATCAGAAAATGTCCCTGTTTCTACCTTCATTCCGCTGCCGTTGTTGTCAAACAGTTGAGACATAAATATCTCCCTGTAAATTGGCGTGTAACTCCGAACTGCACGGTTATCCTGGATGATTCAGCACCTGCCTCGGTGTCTCCTGACCTGTCTGCAGTTAACCTGGTTTTTACACGAATCGCTCTTGTCGGAAATCCTGATTGGCCTCCTCCAAACTGTTTTGGCCTGATTACAGTAGATGACCTCTTTACTTAACCCAGACTGACCAGCTGGATTCAGGTGCGTGTGTGTGTGTGTGTGTGTGTGTGTGTGTGCGTGCGCGCGTGTGTGTGCGTGTGTGTGTGTTAGCTCATTCACATGGCTAAATGATTAACTGGACAACTAAAATGGTCAGCATGAAAGAAGCGTGTATATTTTCCCTGACTTGTTCTTTAAAACCTTGCACCCGTCTTTAGGGTTATGCTGTCTTCCTGAGCACTAATCCCTGAAGAAAGACCTGCCATTGCCATTTGCATACTCTGTCCTTAAACAGTTAATAAAAGCTTGAGTTTTTATCCTATTTTGTAGCAGTGCATCATGACATTGCTTTGTTAAAAGTCAACATATTATTGCATGCATGATTCTGCTTAAATTGATCTTAAACAAAACCATTAAATACAGACCATCACTCATGTAATACCAAA